TGGGATCCACTCAAGCACGTATCTGACGCACTGTTGATTTATCATATATACATTATATATGAGATACATGTCGCACTCTCTACAGCCTTAATAATACCAAGTCATTCCGCCTTACACACACGCACACACACGTCCGCCTTGTGTGTGAAATAGGCCTAGTGAAACCTAATTTATAGAACACAGGAGTTATATAATCCACGTTAAATCGCCTGAATAATTCCTGTTTTATATATTCATCGTTAAACCTCTTATATGACGCCTGTGTAATATATATACCTCGTTAAACATACCTTTAAGTTACGTATTTAAAATTGACATACTGGTGAAGTAAATCATTATAATTATTGTTATCATCATCATTATTATTATCATCACCATTATTATCGTTCTCCTTCTTATTGTTATCATTAATATTATTATTATTATTATTATTATTATAGTTATTATTGTTATTAGTATCGATATTATTATTATTATTATTATCATCATTATCATTATTATTATCATCATTATTATTAATTAAACACTATCATTATTAGAACCTTCTCACTCCCATAACTATCAGACGGTGACTTAGCATAAAAGACAATTACCGCTTAACCAACCTGACACTCTGACTGTGTATTAACTCAGGTACTTTTTTCTTCAGGTTTAAGCACAGGTGAACAAAAACTAATAACGTTGAAACTGGTCTGAACTTGGCTGGCTTGACCTGGAAGTGGGGATGGGTTTGAGGGGTTAATACCGGCTTGGGAAGGCGTGGGGTGGGGGGGGGGGCTTATTGGACTGGAAGTTTAAATCTAAGACCAATTGCTACTGGGACCCATTAAGATTGACGTAAGATTAAGACTTGGGGCCCATTATGACTAGGGGTCTATTAGAACTGGGGGCCCATTTGATCAGCTTCCCGTAAGAGAAAGGCTATACCTTCCCGGTGACTCAAGAACTGGTTGGATTTGGCAGGTCAGCTGTTGCCTGGTGGTGTACCTCTACTACCCCAGGCGTGTGAAGCCTGGCTGTGGGACCGGTTGACACCATGTAAACAAACACACGTAATGCACACACACACACACACACCAATGGTACAATGAACTGTCACCATTATAAACCTAAAGTCATTGAGGTGAGGGAGATGAAAGTCGCCCACCAACATTCATTGTACACGACATATCCATTTGACCTTTGACTTCTGAGTTATGTCACATGAAATATTAAATTGTGAAGTTATGTTTCCTGACCTCCTCCTAACACACACACACACACACACACACACACACACACACGTACAGTCTCCTTCACTAGTACGTTTACAGGGGCTCGTCATATAAACATTCCACACATCATTGAGATATTTGTTTTAATATTGTTTTAATTTGATTCCATAGCATGTTTATTATTGCGAGTTTCCTTCTCTCGAATGTAAACAAACACAGGGTTGCCACACTGCACAAAACCTGACGAGGAGCCCCTGTAAACGCACTAGTGGAGGGGACTGTACATATTTTCATTCTCTCTCTCTCTCTCTCTCTCTCTCTCTCTCTCTCTCTCACACATATACAATGCACACTTTTTTGAGTTAAAGATGATAGTGCAAATTTTTCTCAATATTTAGAGTCATAAATGCATTACCAGAGAGAGAGAAGGAGAGAGTTCAACAGGAAGACATTACTTAAATTATTACGGGCAATAGAATATAAATGACCATTTTTAGTTTTAAAGTCTTGGGTCGAAGGTTAAGTGGAAAAAATTATTTCACTTCTCCAGTTAAAGTAAGGTAAGGTTAGGTTAGGTTAGGTATAATAGTTTGATCAGGTCATGTTTAGGTAGGTTAGGTTAGATTAGGTTAGGTTAGGTTAGGTTAGGTATAATAGTTTGATTAGGATAAGCTAGGTTAAGTATAATAGCTAGATTAGGTTAAGCTGGGTTAGGTTACGTCATGTTTGAGTACGCTAGGTTAGGTTAGGGTCAAAGAGGTAGATTAAGTTAAGATTGGTTAAGTTAGACCAAGTTAGTTTAGCTTAAGTCGTGTTAGGTGAGGTTAAGGTTAGATCGTGTTAGTTTTTGTTAGGGTAAAGTTTGGTTAGGTTAGGTTATGTACTGCCCGGGGGGGGGGGAATTGAAAGTAAAAGTCCTTCAGTCAGGGGTCAGCCAGCAAGTCATTTCCTCTCTACTCTGAGACCCATGTACTCATGTTGCAAGAGTTCACTGAACCTAACCTAACCTGACCTACTCCACGGCCTTACCTGTAAGTTCTGTAACCATAATATATATCATAGTAAATACAGGTATAGAGACAGACAGACAGACAGACAGATAAATAGATAGATGGATAGATAGATAGATGAATATAAATAGATAGATAGATATAGATAGATTAATGGGAACCAGAGACGCTTAGGACAGAAGGTGAGAACTGTATCCATTCAGCCTGAATGTGTAGGTTCGAATCCCGTCGGGACATTAAGGTTGTGTATACATTTCACACCTATCACTCTGTATGTGTGTGTGTGTGTGTGTGTGTGTGTGTGTGAGAGAGAGTGAATATATGTATGTATGTTTGTGAGAGTGTATGTATGTATGTATGGTATGATTAGGTTAGTTTAGATTCCCATTTCCAGACATAATTAGTTACCCTCATTACCAACCACAAATATACAATAATTCTGGTGCACTGAACTTTGACCCGACAAGAAATCTCCTGCATCTTCGTAAGGTAGAAAAAGGTCATAATAATTTTAGTAATAATAACTGTAATTACATCATAATTTATAACATAACATGAACACTAATTAGCAAAGGGGTGAGAAAATTAGGGATTTGTACAGGTGCGTTAATTACCAAAAGGTGAGATAATTAGAGAATTGTTACCTGGACTTACTTGTTAAAATGTGTTTTTTTTTATGAAGAAATATTGAATACAAACACAAATACAAAGTTAATTTAGGTCAAGTTAGGCTAAGATAGGTTGGGTTAGGTTAGGTTTGGTTAAGTTAGGTTAGGTTTTATCATCACTGAGACTCACACAAGTTACAAACACTCACACAACCACGGTAGAGTAACGGGCCAGCATAGCGAACAACAATCAGATCTCTCTTTCCCGCTTTCCAAAATGGACGTCTACCTGGGACCTGTACCTGCCTGAACCTATCACGGGTACCTGGTGAAATACAAGATCTTATTCGCCAGATCCCAGTTACTGGTTAAATCGTGCCCCAGTTCAATCAAGAGCCCCCAAGTTGACCTGACCTAATCTAATCTAATTTAACCTAATCTAACCCCAACCTAACCTAACCTAACCTAACCCCAACCTAACCTAACCTAACCATCAGAATTGATATTTATTAGGTGTGGGGCCCATTAAGATTGGAGACCATTTGGCTTGGGGCCCAGTGGGTTCACAAGGATTGATAGCCATTAAGATTAGGGCCCCTTACGACTGGGCCCCAATCCTAATGCTGAGCTAGGTCAAGTTGGGATCACTAAGGACTGGGGCCCATTTGACCAATCACACCGAATTCCCAGCTATTTATCCGTGACAAATACCTGTTAATTAGTACCTGTCATTATAGAGCTGTGACCTGACTAATACCCGTTATTATTAAATCCTGATTCACGTAAAATTAATGTAATCTTATTTATTACATGCGAGTTTATTTTGATGGGTTACGTCCTGGTCTGCCCAGTGCTTGGCTCTCGAATATTTCCTTTGATGGGTTATCCTGGGCTGGCTTATGTACTGTGCTATGTATTGTTTGTATACCTTCACTGTGTATGTACATTATTTACCTATATTGTCTATGATCAAATATAAACGTGTATATCAATTTGAATTAAAATAAATCTACATGTATATATCTATCTTGGAGAACAGCTCAACGTCAGGGACATCCATAGACTATATACAGATAGCCAGGTGAGGAGGAAACGTTAAGAAACTTGTCTAGGTTTAACTTTCCAGTGACAGTGTTGAAGGGCTCTCATGACGCCAGATGGCATCACGTACAAACGAGTCTGCCAGATATTTTTTTTTACACATAAGGCTCCAGGCACGAGGAAATGTCATCATGGAGGCTTTGAGGGTGAAGCTATGTAAGGGAAGAATAGTCCAAGAGCGTTTTAGGTGCTGGAAGATTTATTCTTTAAAGAGAGACAAGTTGTAGTTATTGAAAGGACGTGGAAAGGAAAAGTTACGGAGTTCAGTATCAGAAAGAAGGCACCAGCATCACAGCGTCTCACCCTCGAGCTGCCAACAACTACACAGTGACTGGATGAGACAATGACCTGTTGAGGCCTGTGTTGGCTGAACGAGGCAGCGGCCAGGGACTGGAGAAACCAGGGGAAGAATGTCGTTTGTCATGTTCACACTATGTTGCCCAGATGTTTTGTACATATAACATATTATACTAATTAGCAGAACAAAGCGACAATATCTCTCAGTCTGGCTACAGACATCCTTACAAGCCTTATATTGCCACAATCTCTGCTTTAATTTAATAACAGTTTCACCTATAAACCATCTCATATAAATACACAACTGCGGTAATCAGATCTGGAGACAACATTGTGTGTAACAGATCCCCGTGATTGGTCTACAACAACCCACTTGGTCAGTGCTGCTGTTGTAGTGCCCGGCTGTACTCATAGGGGGCTCCACTTGACGTCACAGATTTCGATAAATAGTTTCTTATATATATATATATATATATATATATATATATATATATATATATATATATATATATATATATATATATATATATATATATATATATATGAAGAGAGATAGAGAGATAAGATTGTCGACCGTAAAAGTGAACTGTCCAAAATATTATAATTTTCACTACTGTTGTCCCTCCCACCAACCTGTTACAAGGGTAGATAACATCAGAGGTTCACATCACTGGTCAATTTTATGCGTCAAGTGATATCACTCATAAATGCGGCGCACCACCACCTGCGCATCACCACGAACGTACACTCCTCCCACGTATGAAGACTGACGGGAGTGTAACCATGAGGAGGAGGTCAGTTGCTTCCCACACTACATGGGGTTGAGCAGCCCTCCCGCGTCTCCCTCACTCCGACACACGGCCCTCCCTCACACACGTCGTCATTATTGTACGCCACCTATAAAGCTAATGAATGAATGAGAAGCTTTCGTCACGTTCCTGGAAAGAAAGTTGAGTTACAAGAATGGGTAACTCTCCTCAGATACCTCATAAGACAATAATAACAATGGTATGTTTATATTGGCCAGGTTAGTGTGACAGAAAATGGACTCTAAAACACCTGATTATTGACGGAAGACTTGTGAACGTGCCAGGGTTACGTATTCTCAAAGTGTTATAATACTGTCTGACATCTTAGTCTGCCAAAGAGAGGACTAGGTCAGGTAAGGGCAGGGAAGGCATCAAACGTGTGTGTGTGTGATGTGGGGCAAAATGGAGTCAGCGGGACACAGCATGGTGAAGAGAGACTATTGCTCCAACACATTCGACCCGCTGGGCTATATCGCCTTCCTCATGATTGGCTTCCAACTCGCCATCAACATCATCAATATCAACATTAACAACAATAATAACAACAATAACAATAACAACAACAATAATAATAACAATAACAATAATGCCAACGGTATGGGAAGAACACTCGGGGAAACAGAACTGATATTTCCTGATGGTGACGAATCTGTTGACAAAAACAACAGAGAGAAAATACCTAACGTAGAGAGAACAACATCTGACAATCATAGAAAACGACTCTTAGACGAATGGCTTATTAAGGGTGGACTAAAAAAGGACAAAAAATCAGTAAACACACCAAAACAAAGATGTTCATGTAGACGTTATGAGAAACAAGGACACCTGACTGGCGGGCGTGTACTGAGGCTACTCCAACACATCCCCAGCAGTCCTCAGTGTCTGGCAAGGCTAGGCTGTGAAGTGACTCAGGCAGCCAAGAGACACCTAATCCTGTCTATTCTCAGGTACTTATCCTCAGGTAGTAAAGACAACTCCGGCGTTAGGATTATCTTCTTCAGGTGATAATCCTTACTCTAGGGCGCTAGGATAACCCCCCACAAGTAGAAAGTTCTATTTACTCATAATCATGGACACATTACTGAGGAATGTTTTGTTAGTGAAGCTGAGACGTCACATGTGTATTTTAACCATGGGATTATCACTCTTAATATTTCTTGTTTTAAGTGCTATAACTGCCAGGGTTTCTTAGTACCATTATCTAGATCTTAAGTTTTGCAGTAGATAACAATTTAGAAAACTCTAGATATATATTTTTCCTGATTAGGTTCATCATTATTGTATCTCAGTTATACATTCAATTACTGATGTCTTCTGTATATTATTTAAGTAGAACGTCTCATAATGTGTTTTTCTCCTGCAGGTTAGTGACTGGTCAGGGGGGAAGCTGGAGGGAGACGGTGGTACAGATGACCTCCGAGAACTGTGTCAATCTCCTACCAGACTGCTCACCACCTCCATCAAGGGGTGAGGTATAGGGTAAAGGGGGGTATGAGACCTTTAATACCCCCTCCTTCCCCTTTCCATTATCAGGTTGTCTCCTCGCGTTGGTGTGACAGGTGGTGGTGAAGAGCCGGATCGTTGTCCATTTTGTTACCATCTGTGAAGGTGCTGATGTTAAAGAGCGGGTTGACCGTTTGTCATCCTCCTTTTCACCACCACCTACTGTGGAGTGAGGCAGCTGGTATGAGAGATGGTACCACCTTCCTGCCTTATCCATCTGAGTACCATCGCCAAGGATCACCAAAGATGAGAAAAATATACGTAAAATTCATAAAATTAAACAAAAGCATTTAAAACTGTTTTTCAATTACCTTTAACAAGACTCAACAGACTTATTAGGTTAGTTAACACGAGTTTGGTCTCTATATGTTATAGTGAGTGGTAAAGTTACATCAGTACGAGGAGTTTCTTACATTACAATTCGACTTATTGTTTCTACTTTGGTCACGAATAAAAGTCCCTTTGCTCTTCTGCTTGAATTGTATCAACCCTAAATTAGAAACTACAGTGCCATCTGTGGGAAGACGAGAAATTCAGAGACGTTCAGAACTTCGGAGTTTCATGCAGGTAAAGTAAGTCATGAATGAAGCGTATTATTTTGGTAAAAGAAACAAGTCAAGACCCAGAAGCATTCAGCAGCTTTGGTGCTTCAGTTTTCTTCAATAATTGCGATACTTCTTTTCGATAACAAATCTTCGTAATTTCTAAGTGAGATACTCGGCAGTGAAGACGGAATTACAAGGAAGTTACATGCTCATATATCGTGACTCTCAACCACGTACGGTATGTTTTGTCTGCTAAATACACACACACGTCAGGCAGCGGGGTCATGTGTGTTGTGGCACGTCATCTGTAAAGAAAGGACCTCGATGAACGATCATGACGACACATGTGGCGGGAAGGTGATGGGGAGGGAGGGATGGCTGGTCGGGCCCCAGTTTTAAAAGGCCTCAAACCTTAACCTACGAATTAGGATTTGGTTCTAGTTCTAATGGGTAGCAATCCTTATGGGCCCCAGTTCTAACAGGCCCTAATCCTTATCGTTAAGTTAGGTCTATCCTGGGAGCCAATTAAGATCTGGACCTGTTAAGATTAGGTGGTCCATTAGGTGGTTAGGTGGTCCATTAAGACCTGGGCCTTTAAGTAATAGGGCCCGGGACAGGCCTTAATATGCCCTTTACTTCTCATAGGTAAGATGGTTGAGGAGGAAGTAAGAGAGATGGGGGATTAGAGAGGGGGGATTAGAGAGGGGGAGGATTAGAGAGGGGGAGAGTTAGGAAGACAGAGATGATGGCAGGGTAAGGGCCATCTACTTCCCAGGTGCCGCTAACGCTACACTATTGACCTAAACTCCTACACCGCTACGTCAAGCCTCGTCGACTACCGTGTAACGCATCACCCGTGACGTACTGATTCTATTTTGTGACGTAATGCTTTTCTTTCGTGACGTTCTGCCACTTAGTAACGGGTAGAACAAAACATCAAACGGCAAATATTGGTAACAGTGAGGCATGGAATACAGACCAAAAGGAGAGGAAAATTTAGCAACAGAATGAAATAGTTCATTATGTTTAGAGCGGTCAGGTAGCGGTAGTTCAGGGAGGGCGCTCAGCAGGGGCGTAGCGGCAGTAGTCAGTTGTCAGTTTGCTGGTCGCTCAGTAGGCTGCTGGCTCCCTCCACACTCCACCTCGCTGACTGGTAACTGACTGAGTATCTAAAGCTGCACTGATTGTATTACACGTGTTGTTTGAAATGACTTACTAACTGGTGGTACTTAAAGTGACTTATTAACTCCTTATTAAATGATACTCGTAATGATTTATCAAGTGTTAATGAGGAACCAATATATTTTACCCGTTTAAGCGGTGCATTAATGGTGTGTAGAAATTATGAACCTTACGATACAATAGGTGATCATTATGGCATTAACTTCAGTAATTATAACTAAAGAAGTGTAAATCAAGGGTGTGTATCGTGGACAACCTCAAGGTGGTATAATTTTAAGTATCGCGCTTATCTCTTCCTCCAGTGACTTTAGTTCGATACCTTGTTGGGACAGATGTGAGAAGGGTGTTATCCAGTGTGACCCTATCAAACATGGCAGGTTGTCTCCGGGTACTGTACTCTAGCTTCTTCCTGTAGTACTAACACTGGAACTATCGGGAGACTAGTAAATCATAATTGATAAAACTATCTAGGATAATTGTCACAAAAAAATATCTAAATCCAAGATGGAGTTTGATCCGAGATACTTCATCTTACTTTAAAAGGATAAAATCAAAATAAAGTAAAGCAAAATCACTAGAATATTGTGTTAACTTCAGATATTTTCGTCTGTACTAAAGAAGGAATCAGGCCGGTGTGTCCAAGCTTATCTGGTTATCTCAAGTGTTAACATCTTGCCAACAGTGTGAAGGATGTCACTCCAAGCCGTGGTGGAGGGCAGGGACTCCTCAGCCTACTGTCCCAAGCAGCAGAGCTTCTCCTACTTCGGCTTCGTCAACCTCATGATGATCATCTTACAGGTTGTCATCAATATTGTCAACATCAACAACAACAATAATAACAACAACAATAATAACAACAATAACAATAATAATAACAACAATGTTAATGGACCCCAGGGAAGGAATATACAGTCTCTTCTTACCCAAGATTATGTTCGTCGATGGTCTGAACCAACGTTTGAAGATAAAGAAAAACACAAGAGTTACTCCTTCAGATATGGTAACTACAGAAAACGGCCAGAAAAATTCACGACAGAAATCCAGAAGAAAATATTGATGGCTAACTCGTATATTTTGAACGAGAATTGTGTTTGTTTCAGAAATTCAGAGACAATAAAAAATGGTTCTAAAATACAACAGAATGGCGAAAATAATTCCAGTCACACCACCATAACCACATCACCGTCATCCATGATACTCGATGATCCCTGGTCCCTCCTTCCTTACATTGACAGGAGAAGAGGTGGAGGGTGGGAAGTGGGTGGAGTGCAGGTGGGTGTGTCATTGGGGGCTGTGAGTGGGTGGATGTTGAGGATGGCTACATCTTCGCCTGGTTGCCTTGGATGGCTGATGTGCGAGGCTCTAAAGGCACTTGGCGGGTGAGTGTTATCCACAATAAAGGTTAATTGGTCATAGGAGAGCTAAATAAATAGATAGATAAAAGTGAGAGAGAGAAAAAAACAATGTTATTATAATTTCTGTTTTCTGAATTTAAATAATTTCAATGCTTATGAATTGAGCATTAGCAATGGCTATACTATTAACATATAAATCCTTTTTTTTCTTAAGATGGTACAGTGAAAACCGCGATATGATGACGGGGGCGTGTGGGCGTGTCTACCCACAGTGTCAGCTTCTTCCACGCCAGCGCTAGGCCGTCAGGAAGTACAGTGTAAGCGTCTTTCCACCAACCCACACACACACCATACAGTGTAGGTAACCTGTACAATATATCAATAATTTTTTCAATAAAGTGTTACACGAGGCTCTTGTTAACTCTCCCTGCATCACCTGGTAGTGTTTTAAGAGTTGTATTAATTAGTTGTAAATTATACCGACCTTCAGCACCTTAGGCATATATCAACAGCAGCCTTTCTGTTCAACTGTACACATCGCCTTATAGCAGGTGATGGGGTCAATAGGTCTCACGTACTACAATAGTTGCCTCTGTCTTTACGGCTGTGTAACTAAATATTTCTCCTCGTTGATGGTATGATGCATCACTGTGCTTCAATAATTAAAGTCTTTGAATAAGTGATAAAGTTAGTAATTACTCTCGTCCAGGGGCCCACAATATTACACAGTAACCGACCATTACAAACGAGAATCAGTAATAGGTCGCAGCCATTAAAGTGTAATTTAGTAATAAACTATGAAATTGGATATTAAGAAATAAATTATTAAATCATCTACTCAGACAAGTACTGGTATACAGCACCAAAATTTAAGTATTAACGCAACAGAAAATTATGTCTTACGTTCAACAATACCAAGGAAATGGTTACTAAGACTCATGTGAAATTTGAGACTGAATAACATCTGCAATTTTGTGAAATCTGGTTCAAGTTTATTCAAAGCTGCTTCCACAAGTTCCTTTGTGTGAGTGAGCTTTGGGCGGTACAGTAGGTGTTCTTTACGTAAGTCTGCTGGCAACAGGAGGTTGAACCAAACATTGAAAAGAATATGTAATATATTCGTTTGGATGTTATCTGATGCAATCATTTTTTCTCCAAGAGTTCAACAATGGCTGCAATTTTGTGAGTGTGTCTCAGGACATTAATATACAGGTCCAGGAAATACAACTGTGTATCAACAAGATGACTGACCTCGTCAGCTTAAAAACAAAAAAAGACCTTTAAAAATAAATCGAAAAAAAAATTCTTACTCAGAATCTTAGATAAACATTCTCTGATTTCCGACTGTTATCGTTATTATATGTACTCGTGTGTGTGTGTTGTCTGCTGTTAGGTCTTGTTTCCCAGTCCTACAAAATATATCAGGTTAGGTGTTTGTTTTATTATTTTTAAGCAGTCTATTTTACCTTATCAACTTTACCGGCCACTCGTCATATATTTTAGATGCCATCATGGTCCTATAATTAGGGACAAGGGGATGATAACAGAAATATTAATGGGCAAAGTTGAGGGTAGGGGGACCAGGGGAAGGCAGAGACTGGGATGGATGAATGAAATTGAAAAACTGGGTCCACAGAGAAAAAAACCTTGGAGGATTGATACAACAGCCCTAGAACGTTTAGAGTGGAGGACTGCGGTCGCCAACCCTCAGATATAAAGACGGTACTCTGATTGATTAATGCCGGTCGGATATATAAATTTTCTAACCGCATACGGCCGGAAATATGAGGATTACGGACCGCTGCTTTGGTCAGTCGACAATTAAAATTTTTGAGAGTCAGAATTATTGGAGTATAAATACACAGCAAACACTTACCTTTATATGTTCGTATTTCGTTGTTGAGTGACTCCTCATTCCACTTGTGACATTCGTGTGATTGATTGGTATTTTCTGAGCTTCATACACGAGAAATATCCTTTTGAAATTTCACCGAGAGATAATTCAGTCTAAATACAAAGTCTATACCATTCCCAGGAGCAACACACGGGGTTCGATATTAAAAAAAAAAGACATTTCGTCGAATTCACTCCCACAAGTCAAGTTTCACATAAATGTTCAGTAATATATTTCCACCATAGTTTCGTTTCTCCACAATACTGTTAGTATCTCGTTTGATTTATATTCCAGCGTTACTACTTCACTCTCTACGATACACTATGAACGAATGAGTAAGTCGCCACACATACGAAGCCTTCTGAAGTACTTCCACTAAGGAGCAGCCTTCCTCGCGTGGTGTTATTGACATATTGTCCTTCACCACCAACAGCCTAAACTAGTCATCTCTGAATCATTTGTTTACTGCGTGAGTGACAGAACACAACGACTATACTTAAAGCTCTTTACCCAGTTACTACCACTTAGATACGTTAGTTTCATTTGCTTTTTACTTTAACCCATTTTCACTTTACATTTACTGATCATGGTTAAGGTTTTTAATTTAACTTAGTGAATTATTCTCTGCATATGGTTTATAAGGCCACGTCCTGTCATAATGAACCCACACATAAGGAAGGGTGTTTCTTTAACAGCGGCAACACAGTGTCATATGATAATGGAACGTAATAAAAAATATAATCATATCCAGACACAAACTCACTCACCCAACAATCTAATCGTGTTTCACTTTTACTTAATATCATAACTTTACATAATTTGTTGTTGTTTTGATGTTGATAGTAATTATATTTTTCTTACCAACTGTGACCCACGGACCCAGTTAGGCTATAAGCACAACATCACTTAAGAACCTCGTAAGCAAGAACCTAATTACAGGGGAAGGTTATTAAATGAATCCTCAATGGTTATCGGTGCTTCTTTCTGTTATTCAAGGTAAAATAATCATAGTATTTCAGTATTTATTAAATACCAAGAGTTGTTGTTTAGTGTAGAACCATAGACTTAGGGTATAGCGTTTCGAGATCGATAAACAAGAGTATTTTCTGCATATAGATTCCGATCCTCTGTAGTCAGTTCAGCTTCATATGACTTCAGAAAATTTATATGGAACTTTATCTCTTCATCGATACATTAATCCTATATTAATTTCTGGTGTGGAAAAGTATATGATTGTTTTAGGCATAACTTATAAACATTTATACATTTCATTATTTATTTAAAATTTTATAAACATTTTTGTATATTTCACTATAACACCAGTCTATCACAGTTACCTTGATTAGTTGATCCCTAATAAACTTCTGAAGCAAACGACACAAACCGTCTACTGTAATCCTAACCTAACCTAGGAGTATTAGGTCAAGTCTGGATAACAGGCAACCAGGCTATAAAAAAATAATAATACTTCAATGAAAATTATCGTCACCTCAAATACACTTAAGATCTCGTCAACATAAAATAAAAACACAAGAGGTGTCTGGCACTATTATATTAAAACACACTTATAAAAGGTGGTAGACACTTATAAATTGCTAGCTTAAACACTGATTATAAGTTAAAATTATTGTAGCTTCTAAGAGTCAATTATATTATCTGAACTTTTAATTTTGTTATGGGTAAAATATCTGTCCCTTATCTCTCTGGTGTTGATGTCGTGAGATGAACGAAAAACTCTGAATTGAAAGTCATTATTTTAGTAGAATATTTCACAGTTGTATGTTCATAAGTATAAATAATTCAAAGGCATTAATATGATAAATAAGATTGAGTAGTAAACAGTATGATGATGGTAGAGGCTTCAGTATGGTCTGTTGGCTTTATTACCAGGTGGTGAGAGTCAGGCAAGTTAAACTATGGATATACACACTTAGAAACTTCGACCAGAACACAACACAGTTACCTCGAGGAAATGTGAGGTTATCTTAGGTTATCTCTTAAGAGCCATCTTATCTCCGGCCAGTATGAGGACAATATCTCGTAATACTAAATGATCGTGATTATATGTATGTTATCACGATCATTTAGTCATGACTTTGTTAATTCGAAGTCAGTCGTGTAGTGAGACTATCAACTGTGGGTTCATCATAGTGAATTTTATGGTCCTGACAGTCGAGGCTCGTCTTGTCTCGTATTATGGCCCGGTCTTTCGTAGCTGTCAAGGACCGTGACAACAGACATAAAATGCAAATTCGACCATGAGGGTTAAGAGTATGGGCGTGTGGGCGTATTGGGCGGCGTAGTAGATGGGAAGGTTGTTGTGGGTGTCGAGGGTGTTGACGGGGCTGCCGTAGGTGAGGAGGGCGCTCACCAGGCGGGTGTGGCCCCACTTGCAGGCGTAGGCAAGGGCAGTGCGGCCTAGGGCATCACAGGTGGCCGGGGAAGCTCCTCTCTCAAGGAATAGCCGCAGGAGTCGCTCGTGTCCGCAGGCGGCGACCAGCATGAGGGGCGTGACCCCCTGCTCCCCTTCAAGCCCTGGATCCGCCTCTCGCTCCAACAGCCTCTCGACGATGCCCTGTGTCATTTCAGAGCCGCTGCAGTAGTAGTACAAGAGCTCTGCCATGAGTGTCGGGGTGTTGAGGGCGGGGAATATGTCGTGCGTGTTGTAGTAGTCCCAGGGCAGCAGGGCGTCGTGAAGCACGGATACACCCATGTCGTTGACGGAGGTACAATTGGCACCCGTGTCCAGCAGGAGGTGTGTGACGGCGTAGCCCCTGCAGCGTATAGCCGTCTGCAGTGGTGTGTTGCCTTGGTCATTCCTTGCCTCCAGGACGGCACCATACTCGAGCAGGGAAAGTGCCAGCTCGGGGCGGTTCCCCATGGCCTGGTGGTGCAGCGGTGTGTTGCCGTCCTGAGCTGCCAGCGTAGGGTCTGCATGATGTTGCAGCAGTTTGGTCATCACCGCCATTGACACAGCGCTCATCAGTGCTGTACAGCCAGCTCTACTCTGCCGGTTGACACTCGCTTTACCCACCAGGAGTTCTTTTACCACGCTTTCGGCATCGGAATCGGCAGCCTTAATGAGGGCAGTCTCTCCCTTTTCATCTGTCGAATCTGGATCGGCGCCTGCGGCCAGCAGGGTGCGCACCGTCTCTGTCTCGCGTATGACTGACGCAGCCATTAGCGGGGTGAACCCTCTACGGTTTCTAAAGTTGGCCTGAGCGCCGTGTTTGAGGAGGAGTCTGACACAAGAGAGGGATCTTTGCATGCCTATCCCATTGCTGCGTCCTGCAGCCCACATGAGAGGAGTGTTGCCGTCACAGGAGTGTGTGTTGGGGTCGGCGCCGCGCTGCAGCAGGAGGCGTAGACTCTCAACTTGGCGGTAGTGGACAGCAACCTGCACGGGCGTGTCGCCACTTGGACCACAAGCGTTGACATCTGCGCCTTTGTCCAAGACAAATCGTACCAAATCTGTACTGCAGGCGATGATGAGCAGTGACACGAGCGGGGTGCCTCGGGGGTCGCGGGTGTGTGGCGAAGCTCCTGCCTCCAGCAACAGCTTTATCAAGTCTTCCCAACGGTCTGACGTGGCCGTGGAGAGTAGGAGAGTAATAGGCGTATGTCCCCCCGCTAGAGGAAGATTAGGGTCCACGCCCTCTTCCAGACACGCCCGTAGCACACCCACATCACACGCCACGAAGGCCCGGGCCAGCCTAGTGGCCACATCCTCGCCAGCGTGTGACCTCTGCTGTAGGGGCTTAGGCAACCCCAGTCGGATTGCAGAGGCTAGAGGCAGCATTGCTTCCCACACACTTCACTACTGTACGTGTTAAATAATTTATGGTCACTTATGAATCTCTTCCCCTTTATATCTCAACTAGTTCATCCACCCAATATCACACACTTGACAATGTATTGAAACGGTTATCGGCGGGCCACCGGGGTAGAGGCACTGGTGATGGTAGCAGTGAGTGTGCCAGTGCCACAACCCACCGCCCGGGACGATTTTAGAGTGAGGCGGCAGGTGGAGGTGGCACCACCAGCCAGCTGCTATTAATACTGAGGTGGAGCTGTTCAGCCTGTTGGGCGGTTCACAATCATTCCCGAGTATGAGGACTTCAGATTCACTCACTGTTTGGATATAAAAACTCTGGTCAAATTTCAAGACCAGAGATTAGATTGGTTTCAACTTCATTCAAGTTGACCTTTTACCACGACACGTTGTGCTACTTCTCCGGACCGCTTCACTCGATGACGTTATCCTCATCGCGTCACCCGGTATGACGTAATCCTCACCGCTTCTCCAAGTATGACGTCATCCTTTGCTTTACCTGGTATGACGTCATCCTCACCACTTCGCCTGATATGACGTACTTCGCTTCTCCTGGTTAAATTGGGCTATCAATGGCTTGTTACCCGATAGTACCATGATATAACTTACTTATTCAGTGTTGAGATTACTACAGCTCAGCTTTGTTCACCTGTGAATAGTGGGCATTTTCCACCTGTATACAATGTACAAATATGCTTCCTTACACCAGGAAACATTCTGCACCTGCATGTAGCCACCGTCCAGAACAGAACACCGTTACAACCACAAAGTTTCTCCGGATGGGACCTCAACAGGAATCCAATTTCCCCTCAAACCTCGTTTTCCTGAACTAACACCCAAGTCATTACGTGTACCTGAAACGGTTCTTTAAGTAGATGCCAAGTGTACGAGTTCAGTGACTTACAATCATCAGATCATGACCAAGAGAAAACCAAACTAGTTCGAGATCTTGTGAAACCAACGTTCATGGTAGGTTAAGAAATTGGGCTTTCGTTCAAGAGTTCACACACGGGTGGTGAAGGTGGGGAGAGGATGGAAGACATGCTGGGGCTCATGGCACAGCCAGACATTAATGACAGAAGGCACGACAGATGAGGGGAGGGGGGCGGGGGGTTGGAAAGGTGTAGCGAGTTAAACAGAGGGGGACGACACCTTGTTTTACACATTAGAGTTTGTTGACTAGGCTAACCTAGGATGAGGTTGCACAATGGTGACTTTGGTTGGCAAGTAGTAGTTTGATTTTACAATTACAGGTTTATTAAAATCTTATTACGGTATTACGTTATGGACGCGATCGATGAGCACTTGTTAAATGGGATCTTAACAGTTTTAATCCAAGGTGGATCGTTGTGGCGGAGATGGGTCGCGGGTTGAGTCACATACAGCTGGCTCAAGTGACTGACGTGTGTCGACTACTTCACCCCGTCTGGTATATAAGATCACGGACTGATGCAAATGGTCGTGTGTGTGTGTGTGTGTGTGTGTAGTACTTGAAGGTAGACTTCGTGGTTCTAGTGTTTACGGGTCGACTCGTCAGCACACTCTATCGCCGCTGAATGACTATAGTAGGTGGAGTTTAATGTTGGGTTTACCAAGTTCAAATATATGGTTACCCTCCCCTCCCCCCCAAAAAAAAACTATATATATATCACCACCTATCGGGAAGGAACAACTAAGTAACCGCAATTCTATACCAACTTTTTTATTCAATTAATCGAACCAAAACAGGCGAGTAAAATACCATGTAACAATAGAATATATTTCTTAATCTAAAACATTGTATAAGTGTCTAAATAGAGATACGTTGCTTGTAGACGGAAGCATATAGTGTGGGTGTAGCCAGCTGGAGTGTGGGCAGGTCGTCGTACACCTTCAGGAGGCCGACGCCTGTGTACGCCACCATGGCCCTGTTGGTGGCACCGTGCAGGAACGGGAACGAGAACGGATGAAGGGCAGGTGTCGTCTCAATCTGGGGAAGTTTAAGAAAGTTTTTAAGAGTTGTTAACGCAAAACTTGTCGGTCACTTGTGGAGTTGCCAAGTCAGGATAAATCTTAAATTTAATATAATGTCCGTGAAGACGCCCAAAGGTACACCTGCACTACAGACAGGCGAAACTACAACTAGGTGACGTAGGCCCCCAAGTGTACAAGATCTAGGGTCATAAATGGAAATTAAAATTAGGAAAATGTCTTATCAAGTTGTTTAAACACTTCCCTAGTGGTCGCTGGTTAACGTCCCGGGCACCCAACGTCTACCTAGGTGAAACAGGACTAGTACCTGTTACGCTGCCTCTTCTACCGACGGCTTATTAAAGTATCCTGAACCCACACTGTCTAACGGTTCTTCAAAGCCTATGGGAGACTCTTACCTTTTCATGACCTGACGCTACAAATCTCATTTCATTTCTGTTCGCAAGACCTTTCTGAAGTGACTGAACGGAAACATTCAACAAGCATGAGCAGATAGATATATTCCCCATGTTCCTCACCTCTCTGTGGAAGACGAAGAGGTCACCCTTACGGAAGTAGAGCAGCAGGTTGTGGTGGGTCTGTACGTAGAGCGCCAACTCCCCTGTCGGCATCATCCCAAGTCTGCTTTCCACCGCCCCCTCCACCTCCAGGTTCTGGTGACGGAGGTATAAATGTTCAAAGGAGTAGCTAGGAAGACACTGCAGGGGCCTCTGACATACTATTTATAAACTATACGAGTTAATAAAATAAGAATGGTTATTAAAATGAAGCAATAAAATATAGAAGCCTTTGAAGACGTACAGGTGAAGGAACAGAAGAACGTAAATATAAAACGATATATGTGCGTCAGCAAAATGTGTGCTCTAAATCATCTCCTTATCTATATATTCTGCTCACGTCTCGGGTCACGTGTTACAGCTGCCACGACTTTCCAAGGAGTTTATTATAATCTAGAATGCGATTTTTTTTGGGGGGGGGGAAGTTCTCCAAGTTCCAGTAACCAGTTCAGTACTTTGCCTGGACAGGAAAATCCAATAATCGCCACTGAAAATCTTTTGCTCCAGGTGGAATGTTCCTTCACTCAATCACCTTACCTGGAAGACCTTACTCAGGTATCCAGAGGTTTCTATCCTGACTTACTGCAACGCAAAAAAATAACATTGATTAGATCTCATGACGATCAGGATCTCCAGCTTATTTTACCCAATAAACACTGACGCTAAATGGAGCCAAGTATTTTTAGTCAGGTGAAAGAAGCGGGGATACCTAATAAAATCCAATTGGCTTAACACATCCACCTTAACGATCCAGCAAGATACTCAACTTCCCACGGACTTAAAGGATTTGATTTTTCGCTATCTTGCACAAGTTACGAAAACTTTGAACAAGGTTAAAGAATCTCTTCAAACAGCATCAGTGCCCTTCGTTCATTAGTTCCTGGACAAAGACTTACATTAGCGTTGATTATGTTGTCATCAAGGAGCTAAAATAGTCTTACCTGGACTAGTGTGAGCGTGAGTGTATTAGCCACAGGTGTAGCCTTGAAGATGACCACCTTGCCTACCAGGTACGTGGAATGGGGGCGAGTTACAGTCACCAGCCCCCAGAAGCCTCGACTCAGGGTAGAAACTGACCTGGCGCCGGACATAACCAGACTGTGGATCTGTAGGAAAGGACAAGTTGTACAAGCTACTATCCGACGTCTAGTGTCAAGTCTGTCATGAACGTAGTTAAAATCAACTTGCATGATATCCACGTGCAAGAAAATACTTTAAAAATAACACGGTTTTGAGTAGTAGTTATGAAGTGATGGAACGAGATGTTTGGCTAAAAGTTTAAACAGGCGAATTCTTAGTTATCGAAATACCAAAGTCCATCTGACATTACGATTAACTCACAGTACTGTAACTACAAATGACTCGTCCTGTAAATAGGAATGCTTTAGTTGTTAAGGTGTCTAGTAACTATTGGTAAAAATTATCAATTAAAGACGGTAGTTTTAATTTATTAAGCACATTTGTTTCAAGTTAATGGAAGTTTTTTTTTACCCAAAGTTAAAGTGGTCTTCAACTTCGATATTACACAACTCTCCTGCTGACAAGACTTTAAACCACTACTCAAGTTAAAGAAACTTAATTTGTGTCAATATTCCACTTGGGCAACATTACTTTGTAGGGTTAGTTTTGTATCTGATCACATACATTCACTAAATATCAATAACTAGACAATTGGTGAATGAATGACCTCGGGCATTCACAAAGCAGAGCATCATTTAAGGTTACATTAGCTTAAACAAAAATCTTATAAGTTGAACTAATCAGACATGATTAATATATTTTACAGTTGTGTAAATAATTCGAAAAATATATCTCAAAACTCAAACTATTGATCACAAAACGTTAAGTATATTCATGGAGACTGGCAATGATGGCCCTCTAAATAAATAAATATTACAGGATATACCATAGACTAACACTCACCATCACCATCTGGCTCTCAAAGCTGTCATAACCATATATATGAAGGTGGGCTGGGAGGGTGGTGCTGCCCTCTTGTATCGTCATCAGGAAGGTAGTGCCTCCTATCACCATCCACGATCCCTGCAACACACACACGTCTTTGACTACACCTAACACACACTAACAGGAGGCTATTTTTTTTTTATACTAACAATAATGAAAATAGGAATTAAAAACAAATTACAATAGGTTAGAATATGATTGCTTAGAATCGCCATAAGTTAATGGAAAAGTAAATGAAATACTATACGAAATACAAATTGAAATACAAAACATACGAGAAAAATAAGAATTAAATAAAAAACAAAGAAAACTAATACACGAGAAAATAAATAATTAATGAAATGTGTGCAGTAAAAACAGAAAAGGAGGGATGACCTTACCTTGACGGCCGTGGTGGGGAGTAAGATGTTGATCAGGTAGAAGGATGAGCCAGGTGTCTTGCACATCACCGTGAAGCTCGAGTAGTCTTCAAGCACCGCCAAACACACCTGACCCTCAACAGTGAAGCTCTGCACACCACACAATTAGGGTTAGAATAAAAGGCTCCGATCACCTGAGAATTGGGCACCCTAGTTGATTTCACCTGATTAAGACACCCTAACGCAACCTGGTGCGGAGTTTGGTTAGGTTAGCATGTGGAGTCATTAGGTGAAGTAAAGTGGGGAGGGTCTTAATTCTCAGGTGATTTAAAAGCTGCGATACATATAAAAAATTGGCTATTTTAATTGAATCGCTAGAATTACCACAAGGAAATTTTACTGTACTATCAAGTGAAGATTGTGATAGAAGTGGCAATTTGTAATCTCAGAATAAAAAATAATTTCAATTGACTAAAATATACAATAAATTAAGATAAAAATCAAGTACTGTCCACATATCTACAGGGACTAGCCGAGTTAACCTAGCGAGACAAACAAATTCCTTACTCACCACCAGGTCACGACACTGTTGTACTCTGAAAGCAGCCTCCAGCCTCACCATCCCACCGCTCAACAGGTACACGTGGCCGTAACCTGCACCAGGACCTGCCCCCACCTGTCCCAAGAACCCGCAGGATGGTAAGCTCAAGGATATCAAATTACTCAGAAGTTGGAGAGAAGTTAAGGAGATGAGTGGGGAGGTCACGTAAGGTTAATGGATTAAAACCGGACTCCCTGGGGTGCTGTGTGGCTTGAGAACCGAGAGGTACGAAACAGTTGAAAAAATAAGCAGCAGCCGCTCCTGTAACTTTAACAGCATTAATTTTTTTCAGTGAGCGAGTACTCGTGTACTGTACAGCTGTGCCCTAAGGGTGCTTTTGTAAATTTAGACTATTCCGAAAATTTTTTTTACAATTTAATAGGAGCGAAAATTTTAAGCATTCCCAAATTGAGGAAGATATGGAGAGAAGAGAGCCGCTTGCTCTGAAGACGGTGTAGGTTTTTTTAAGAGGATACAACTGCCTAGGATAAATGCTAAACACCAATAGTAACCACAGGGAGCCAAGTAATTTTGTTTTTAATTTGTACAGCCAATACCAAAGACAGAGGCTCCAGGAGTCGGAAAGCATACGGAACGTATGGCGAAGACGAACCCAAACTATGGAGAACACATCTGAGGTAACACTTATTTCCGTTCCTCGGGACCAAGGGTCTATACTTTTTGGGTTGGCTGTACAACTAATTACCACATTTATTAACTAATTCTTAAGTAGCTCTGGAGCATTCAAATAATTTTGCCAACTGGGTAATCCAGATATCAATACCACCTGGTGTCGTGACTCGGGTTTGTTAAGAGATCCTTACTTGAGTGTAGGTAGCAGTGAGCAGTGTCCCGAGGGGAGCAGCCACCAGGCCTGTAGAGCTACACACGGCCAGCATACCACTACCAAGACCTGCCGCTGCCGTCGACTCTACCACAGGGATGGCCGGATCTGGCAGATAAAATAAAAAAGTTAGCCAAGAGGCAAGTCCTGATACAGTGACTGCCAGCCAAGACAAAACTTCACCTCTTCGTAGTTTACGTCCGACTTTACATCTCTGGACGATTCAAAACCGGTTACCCGGACTTGCCCGAAGATTTTTGGTTTAGATATACAGTACAGTACTATATTACTACTTCGACTTTTTACATATTCAGTCACACGAACACAAGAATCCCGCCATTTCTACACCTCCCTCCACAGAAGCGGCGAGACGAGATATTCTACCCATTGTCTTGCCGTCATCTTGTGGACAGCTGATCCCCGGAACAACTGACAGCAGGTTTTCTCGACTGTTTTACAATTTAATAAAAAATTCTTAAGCTTAAATGTTCATACTTTATCATGGTCCTAATACAGGACACCACCTTCAGTTTTCAAATGGCCCTGTGTTCATTTTCTGGAGGAATTTATCACGAGATTCTATTAGTACTCACACAGCTCCGCCATGGTGGTGATGTTGTAGATCCGGACGCGGCCACCAACTCTGTCCAGCCCCACCAGTGTGTCCACCCCGTCCACCATCAGCTCACCCGACAACCTGAAAGCCCACGTTACTCATCAGCAAGTGAAAGACAATCACTTCTGTCCTCCGTTCAGTTGACCCTCAATAATAAGAAGGGCTATTGTTTTAAGCACTAGGTCAATTATAAATAACAAGATATTTGTAAAGGAACCCGACTCCACATCCCTTCAATTATCCTGTACTGTATTGTATACTTCCCCCACCTTCAGCTTCCTCTCACCTGGACCTGGTCCCCTTCACCTCAACCAACTGAGACTTTCAAGAAAATCTTAATTAACTTGGTAAACCTGATCCTTAAAATCTTTTCATTTCGCCAATTATAAATACAAAACTTGCATCCCCACAGTCGGTAGATTCATTGTCACTAATAACTGTTCATTCCCCCAATCACCAGCTGTACACGACTACTTACTGTACTGGGAGTAGCTTGTGTAGGGGTGTAGCCAAGTATTGTTCCTGGTAGTACCACAGATCGTCTGGTGCACCTGCAATGTTAACAATTTCAGTTGACCGTAATTAGGTATAACGGATTTTATGTCTTCTGTCATAACACATCGACTGTCTGGACTTTCAACATGCAACAACTACTGTATCTGCATTAACTGGTCTTTAAGCAGTTGTAACGTATAAAGCGGTACGCTGTTGCCGGCATTGATACCTATAAGCCGGTGGTAGACAACCACAACTACAGGGAACTTGGGTTATTAAGGACGGACTGCCATATTGAAAGTAACCAAGTCACTTTAGTTAACATTTAAAGTAAGTCGGCGCTCGTTAGCAGATTCATAGATATAGTCACCTGGAGGGGATTTGGTTTAATAATTTAACTAGTTTTTTGGTCTATATACATTTCAAATACCAAACTATCAAATTATTTACTGTACAAACTTTTACGTCAATTGCCAATTGTTGTCCTGTTTGGACCGTCCTATTAACGTCATCATTTAACTTTCCCTGTATCTGTTCCATGATGTAATACTTCGCCTCCTGCTCTACCTGTTACAAGCTCTCCTCCTGCATGATCTGCTTCAATATAATCCTTCCAGACTCCAGAACGGTTATCAGCGTCTGTTATCTAGATTCTCACCATAATTCCCATTAAACGAATAAGAATAAGCCTTCCTGCTCTAGACAATCACTTTCGTCCAGGTAGTCTTCCACCTCGCCAACCTACCCGAGAGAACCGTCTTCACATCATGCGCTGCCTCTAGGATGTGCGCCATTTCGTTGCCCATGTTGTGGACGATATGCTGGCCCAGGAGGCACAGTGCCAGGTCAGTTATGTTGTAGCCGTTGATCATGTGGTTCACTAGCCACACCTCCGTCGCAGTCACCACCTCTAGGAACACCACGGCGCCAGTGATCACCATGTCACCCTGCGTCTTGACCTGCAGCAAGAGGGAACGTGTCTCGACAACACGCAAATATCTCTTTTATAGGGGGGGGGGTCTTAGTTTTGTTTACGGACTCCTTAAATAGGCCAAGATCATCCTTATAAACCAAAATGTACCCGAGTGGCTAACCAAGTTGTGTTAAGGTTTATTTCATCAGTCACCAGAAACTACTGTAGGTGTCGCAGAAAGCTTCCATTAATACGTGGATCATGTTTGATACGTTTCCCTGAAGTTTATTGGTAGACTTATGGAAGAATTTATCATAAATGTTTGCCGAATGTATAAAACCTTCACTAACTTAAAAATGTTGCATCTTAAAAATTCTGAAACTAGTTAAACCTATAGATTGAAATGTTGTAGTGTTCATTGATGTAGATTAGTGTTGGGTAATATTAGAACAAATAATTTGTCAACAAATTCATACCGTGTAGAGGCGCAGTCTCTCTAAATCAATATCGTTGAAGAAGTGGTCAAGAATGGTGATGGAGTTGTTGACCAGAACGGCGAGCAAGTCCAGTCCTGCGGCAGAAACGGTCAACACGCCACTCATCGTCTGTTCGCCGTCCCTCATTAACAGTAGGTTCCTGCTCATCATCACTCCATCCACCGTCCCAGCAACACTCAGAGTCTGGAGGATCCTAAGGCCCATGAACGTCGTGACTCCAGGGATGAAGTAGACACCGTCAGCCCCGGCCATCACCACCATCTTGGCAAACTCAGACACGTCCACACCCTGGTGAGAAATTTAGCTACTTTTAGCCAGCAGTACGAGTGACTAGTTGGTGCAGTAAAAAAAACTTTCCACATTTGTTTACACCAGCCTGACGTAAAACAATCTTATTGTAACCAATTTTTGCCTACCCTTACCGGATTAGCAGAAATAAAGTTATTGATAGTAGGCGGTTACCAAACAGGGAGGTACTACTGCCTGGAAGATACTGGAAGCATAATGTGTTGTCTAATGGTAGACCCTGCTGCCATATGGCATCACGAAAATTGTGACCAAGTCCCATGTTGCTGATCTGACTTTCTGCCTCATTTACACACAATTGCAGGGTCTCAATTGTTTCTCTTACTATTGACAACACAACATATATATTTCTCACTTTTTATTTGTTATTTTATTATTATTATGGTATTATCATTAATTTCTTATTTTAAATTTTGTATTTTTAATATAAATTTTATTTACTATGAATTATTATTATTTACATTTTCGCTCCCCAGGCCCCGATGTGGGTCAGTGACTTGTGCCTGGGTGGGCTAACCCCCGTAAAAAAGAAGGAACATCAACCAAAGACCCGTGATAAGTTTATGGATTAACCCCAAGACTGGCATGTCATTACCGAGGACTATTGTACGCTTGGTGCCGTGTTGAAGTACATGTTGCAGATCAAGTGAAGTCACGGTCCTAATCTCCTCTCCTAACGTAAACAAACCATTGGGGCAGACAAACATTGATCCATTATGCTTGGTGGCTCGAAGTAAATTTTGATAGGGTTAGGTTACATAGGCGGCCTATTAGACTTAAGGTACCATCACACCAGCCACCATTCTCCCACTGTCAAGAACCTCACCTGGACAAGCGCGTAGGGCCGAGGGCTAAGGTCTCCCACAACAGTCACGTCCTGCAGGAACACTTTATTGCCGCTGATGGTCGCTGGTTGTCCCCGTATCACGAAGTCCCGCCCCATCCACAACCCGTTCAGTGTACCGTTCAGCAACATGGAGGCTGTAACAGATGGACTTCGTTCAGCGACAACTACAACATAAGGTCAAGTCCTCTGCTTCTCTATATCCCAAGGTGCAGTTCCAACGAACCTAAGGACTTCCAGCTTCTGTTTTTGATTCATGGGGAGTGTCTCAAGAGTTTGAAATGAATTCTCACTACAATTGAAAGTGACCATATAATAAACATAAGAGTAGGGTGGGGGAGAGTAGGGTGGGGGAGAGTAGGGTGGGGGAGCCCACCTTTTGCCGTCAGGTGCTGCATGGTGAGGACGCCTGATATCACCTGGTCACCATCTGTCAGTAGCAGGTTCTGTAGTGCTCGCTGTTAAAACAAATATTCACTTCAGTTACAACTCTAAATGTAAATAAGTTATATTAGATAAGTATCAGTTAAGTGACCCATTAAAATACATACACAAGTTTAACACTAAATATCACTCCAAGAAAAATATCAATTCACACCTTACTGTCCTAGACATAGTTCACATCTGTCGAGTAAACGAGTTCATACACTTGCAGGTCATACGAGCACCAACCTAACAAGATGGGACCCCAGTATGAAGGGTCAGTAAGGGCCTATCAGACCTAGTACAGATCCAACGTTCACCCAAACCTCAACTCACCGAGAGCCAATCATCTTTAGAGTCCAATGTGTAGGTGTCAAGTCGAGTGACGGTGAGGGATTCGATGACAAAGGAGCCAGACAACACCTGGCTTCCCTCGCACTCCTTCAGCAGCACGGTGTCCCTCAAGGTCTCTACGTCCACCCCATTCAACAGACCCTGACAGGAAGAGGGATAAGCCTAACTCAAGAACCGGCTTCTTCATCTGGTTTCTATTTGTTCTCTATATATGTGATCTCTGGTGACTACGGCTTTGGTTATCGACTGTATTCTATTAAGTAAAAATATCATTAAAAAAGTGACAATGGCGATTATGAAATTTGAGTCAACTAAAATTATATTGAAATATGTTATAAACTAAAATATGATCATTATCGTCAATGAAAAATGTTGAGAATAAAAAGAGATGGGGGAGGCAAGATTAAATTAGCCGAATCCAAAAACCAGCATTTTCCCCGATCATGGATGTCCTGTCACTTGCAGTCTTATGTACACAGGAAACCAATTTCATTTCAAAATGGGACCTATTTCTGATATATTGACACTCTTACATCGATAACCTTTTCCACTAAACTTACATCATTGAGGGGGGGAAGGGGGGTAGCAGACCATGACGGCGAGGTACCTGTGAAAAATAAATGCCTCGGTAATAACCTACCCGGAGTATAAGGTAAACACCAGGCTGCAGGACGACAGTATTGAAGGAGGCGGTGACGGAGACGCTGGCGGGGAGATCACTCAACCAGAACTCCTCCAACAGGGTCGTCAAGTCCTCGTCGTTCAGGTGATCAAACAATCTCACGTCCCTCCCAAAGTGAACGTCGCCTGTAAGTAAAATAACGAATGGCTGTGGCCCGTTTACAATAACCGATTACACTGAAGGTGAACTAGAAAATGTAGTCTGTCAAGTTTGATCGTTGTTTAGTTACACAAATGTAAATCACTCGTACTTGAAAACAAATTTTTCATCGATGACTCATGCAGTAGTATCAAAGTACATGAACAATGTAACGGTAGTTAAGGCCCACTCTTACTAAGGTCACATTTATTCAGTAGGAATGGGGGCCCCACTAGGAGTCAAGTCATAACCCAATGATTGACTTATGTTAAGTCTTAAGATTGGTGACCACCGACCCGTCTATGGAGTAAACGTCCTGAGCCTCACCATGGACGGTGAGAGAGTCTATGTAGACGACGGTGTCACGGAGAGCCAAGAGGTCAGCAAGAGTTTGGAGGTTGACGAGCACAGGGTCGTCAAACTCACTGTTGCTCACCAACATACCCTTCAGCATGGTGAAGATACCGGAGTAGAGCACGAGTGATAAGAAAGTCTTCTTCCCAGTTATCTGCAGAGAACAGCCGAGGTCATTTTACATATACTATTAACCTTACCAACTCGAATCCGTTAAAGTCGCTAAAATTGCAACTCCAAACGTTTGAGCTTTTCATATCTAAATATTTAAATAGGTCTCAAGCTTGTCATATTGAATATATTTACAATCAACACAGTAACCAGTTATTTTGTCCTTTATGGTGTTAATATATGTAAATACTTTTTACAGTCCACACTAGCCATCATTCATACCTCCATGACACCACCTACACTAAAAAAATGATATAATTGATATATATTATTACTTAAACTATTCCATATAATTTGACTTAAGTGAACACCGTTTCGAGAAGTTCAAGATGTGGTTAAAAAATAAAGACCTCCATCCTTAAACGTTACACTGTACCTTCTGGGTTTCGGCAGAGGCTATTAGAGCGTCGACACTGAGGTCCCAACCTTGAATGGTCCCGGACAGGATGATCTCCTTGCCATACACGTGACCTGGCGGAGTGCATCAGTTACCAAGTGGGAATACTACATCCTGAACCGATCCTTGATGAACATAATTACAAACTATAGAAACAAGTTATACAATTTAAACCTTAAGAAATGAAAAGTATTTAATCCTATTCATCCATCAAGATTATCATAATGGCAATCTTGGACAGTGACTATTGATAACGGAGGCAGACGACACTCTTGCCCTTCAAAGAATTCATCTAAAACCTTATTCCCAGAGCTTTCATTGCAACACAAGAATTAAGTTTAAACCTCTCATTAAACCCTAAACCTACCAAAGGAAGCGCTGTGAATAGTAGTGACCTCGTCCACCTTGGCCGTCATGTGTAACAGGCGACTCCACTCTACTGTCTGCAGGTAGACGCCCTCGAAGGTAACTGCCGCCGCCTTTACGTTTGTCAAGGTGTTGAGACCCAGCAGCGACTGATCACCGTCCTTCAGCAGCCACCCGGAACTATACTCCTCGGCAGACACTCCGTCAAAGTCTCCTACAGTGAGAGTCACGCAGCTAGTGTTACATATTCCGGCTCTCACCTCAGGCACTAGTCAGGTAAAACGGCTCTAACATGTGGATTGAGTGAGTGTGTGTGTGATGAATAAAAAAATAAGAGGGACGTCACTCACTGATTACTGTCTATATATTCGCTGAAATTAACCATAAAACCAATTGATAAGGTATTAGGTATGTATTCCACATTGATTAAAAGATAGAAATTCCACCAAAAAACTGAGGTACTATATCAGAAGAGTTGGAGGAAAAACTGAAATATGTACATGGACACTTAAGGTTTGTTTATATTGTACTCTTGCAGGATTTGCCTCTGCAAGTCACTTTGTACACCCCCTCCCTCCCCCAATATTTTTTCGAGTTCTGCTTTTGAACTACAGTACTGTGATACATGTACAGTAAAGACAACCTATTTTTACATCCTCCTATCCTCAATTTCGTGGAGAAGTGCTGAAAAATTAATATATCAATTTAAGACCAATATTCTCTCAGATCCCAAACTTTCTAACAATATACTCTAGTAACCTAAATAAAATCATGATGGGGCCCTAACTATTAAGGCAGCCCTCTAAGAAATTGCCAGTAATATATCCAAGGTTTACGTCACAAAACTTCTACTTACTGCCGAATGTGAGAACCTCGACTACAACTTCTCCAGTGAACATGAGAGAGCCTGCAATGTACTCAGTGGTGTCCTTGTACACCAGCCGCCTCTCCCAGTTGCCCAAGTCTGTACCCGTGGCCGAGTGAGCCATCAGACCGTAAACGAACCTGCCAGTCAGCGTCTGTACACTGCCACCACCTGTCAGATTTTATTTACAACTGTTACTGGCCGAGGGTCTTACTCACGCCATTCACAAAGGGTAAAGAACAAAGTTTAGTTAAGTTAACATTAAAAATATCAGGACGAAATTACAACTAATTGAGGACATCTGACTACTGTTGATGCATGACCACTGTAGGTGTTGGCTCGGTACTAAAATTATTCTCAATGACACTGGAATTATTAAATATCCAGCAAATACTGAAGTGATCTTTACTCTTACTAAGTCCTGTAAAAACAGACGGTATATAAAGCAAGACGTTTGTATTATTTTTAGCCACAGATATAGTACAAACGAGCACAAGTCCCAGGGTGAGCTCGGGTGAAGACTTCAAGCATCTCTCCTGTACATTCCTAGAAATTTATCCCGAGTCTGGCAATAAAATTAAACTAGTTCAAACAGCGGAAGTACACCTACCGTTCTTCCGGAGGGAGTCCGAGAAGAAGAGCTCAGTCCAGACGACCCCGTCGACGGTGCCACAGTGACCCACATCCACTGCAGACATCCTCGTCTCCGTCAGTACTCTCAGGAAGGTGAACGTCTTCCTCCCTTATCACCACAATGACAATGAGTAGGCTTTAAAAATATTAGCGACATTTGATACAAAAGACACGAAGTATGAATTAAGTTGAAGCAGAGTAAGTTTAGTACAACATAATTTGTTTACATTACTGTCCGTATAAATAAGATTACCAAGACCATCCTTGAAGATTTAAGTTTCAATATCTCCTCTACTGTCTTTACACTTTTAATTTATTGGGATAATAAATTATACCGGGGATAACTTTAGTCAACTCCGTGTAATACAGTACAGGGAGGACCAGGTTTAGCGCAGAAATTAATGAATACGAAAATCAGCCAATTTAAATTACATACTTCCTGGTCAACTGTGCTCAAAGTAGTCATTCCTATTCACCACAACTGTGTACAAACAATTTTGTTCTTGCTAAACACTAATGAAGCATTAAAAAATTATTTATTAGGAATTAAGGGTTACTTTTTTTTTTAGACATTCTGTACTCTAACTTGATCATAAACGAGGAATTTATTCTCCATTAGTGAAATTTGAATATAGTACAGGCAAGGCATCACTTCCCAACCAAGTTAGTCAAGTATTCTTTTCAAATTACTTTAAAGGATTTAAATTTAAGTTAAACAATGCAAGTCCAAAGATTGACGACAGAACTGACAGATGGACGCAACCAGCTTCGGTGTCCTGGTTTACAAAAGCTTTGTTTTATAATCCTTCTTGAGAACAGGAGTCTGGGAGCAACTCGCCAGTTATGACAGTCGTGCCGGTGAGGGTAACAACATCGTTAAGGTCCACGCCGTTGATCAACACCACGCCTGTCACCCATAAGTCTGCCATGACGGGCTGCAGGAAGTAGAGGTTTTGCACGATGGTCTGGTTCTTGTTCCTCAACACCAGCTGTGACGCCAGAACACCCACGTCATGTGGCTTCATCGATCCAGTGGTCACGTCTCCCTCAACTCTCTGGGGCAGGAGAAGTTGGTTCAGGGTTCTCCACAAAAAAACTTTGGATTTAAAAAGATTAAACAGGATGAAAGAACCAGTTGAAGCAAACGGGATCAATGAGAATGTAGGTGTTAGTCTGGTTGAGCCAAATGTACCGAACGAATTCAGTTTAGAATTTTATACTTATGAGGGGGAATACAATACATGGCTTCCACCAGTGTCAGTCCTGCATTGTTTATTTGAAAAACTGACGCGCATTACTTTCTTATGGTCCAAAGTTACACCAAACTTAAAAAAATATCAGAAGTTTGTAAAACGTGTTAATAAGTTAAAAAAAACAGCGGCCAGTCGACATTTAATAAAAATAACAAACCTGAAAGTGTTTTAAGAGTCATGGTGCCGGCAGTAATAGTATGTGTAACGAGTCAAGGACTGACGTGTATATATACAGCACAACGACCCTTTGAAACACTGGTGGACGTGAAGCGAGAATCTGACATTTACCAAACGATAATGAAGGTATAGAACATGACTAACCGTACCATGAGTTAGGGGACTGTGCTGGTTAAATAGAACATTTACAAATCTAGGACTGCACATGGAGAAAAAATATACAAGGATAAAATACCGATTTACAAATGGTACTAATTTCTGTGTACTATTAGTAACCCCAGCCAAGAGGTCTGTATTGGCAACAGACTTAAGTTAAGCCTCTGAATTTCTTATACTTTACATACCAGACCGTTCTTAAAGGTTATGGTGTTGGTGAAGGTGTGTGTGCCGTGTGTGAGGACGTACAGGTGGACGCTCTCGCCGTTCAGTCTGTCTGTCACCTCCACGTTACCGCCCAGCTGTCAACAAGGAAGGAAATTTTTTTTTCTTCACATTTTACAAATTCTGTAAATTCATATTTAACGTTAAAATAAATGTTTGACACCAATTATCGAACTTCCTTGATATTTATGAAGCTGTTAACTATGTCAATGTAACCAGTGAAATTAAACAAAAACCTTTCATCAGGGCAGACGAAGTACATCTACATGTCCACTATATATTAAGGCACCGGTGTAGGCATCTTATCTAGTATATACAAGTACCTGAACTTGGCCCTGGAAGACGAGAGGAACGGCTATGTAGGTGGCAGTAAGAGGTATGGCAGAGTTTCGTATCCTGGACAGACTCGCTCCATCCAGTTGGTCGTCCTGGACTTGAAGGTCGTCGTGGAATATCATAGATCCCTTCACCTCTATACCAGCTGTAACCAGGGAGGAGAGGGGTCAAGAATCATCACACATTGGCCATGTTAACTGTCCTATGGGAGAAGGGTTGATGGAGGATTATTTTGGAACATATTATATTACGAAAAAAATGGGTTTAATCCACTAAGTTAATACAATACTTCAGCATTAACTGTCCTTATTCCTCAAAGATTCAAACTTTACTATTTTACCAATAAGGAATTCTTACTATTAATCGAACAGAAGCTTGCCTAAATTTCTCTTATCCAATAAACGGATCAAGCAATAAATGATTTCCAAGAAGCTTCCGAGAATACATCTTGCCTTAAAACAACCTTCATTTATCTCCCAAGTATAATTTAATCCTTAACCGACTATTTAAAGGTAACGTTTAATTCCTGAAACAAGACATCCTTCAGAAGATGACTCAAATTATAGAACATCACTAATACAGCATTTTGTTTTTCCTCAAACTATAAGAATTACCAGACGGAAATTTTCAGCACATAATTTTCAGCACCGTTACATACACTCAAGACCCTGGATGAATTCCTGCTGTACGTTCTTCATAAAGTCGCCGAGGTAATGACCAGAGACCTTGAGTGCCACAGTGGAGTGTCCGAGTATGTCTAGTTGAGTGAACACCTTGACGCTGCTCACCACTTGCTCCCCGTCCACGACCATCACCGACAGTGACCCATCAACTTGCTGCAGCCAACATCCTCAGTTAGTATACACATCACTAGTCATACTCTAGATAGATAACTAAGGATCATCAGTACAGGTAGAGTGACACAGGCTATGTAGAACGATAAGAATAGGGAATCAACCTTATTAAAAAGGGTCCAATTTTTTTGGCCTTAATTTCTGGTTAAGATAAAGTGAACTAAACCTTAATATTCACTACAGAAATCAATAACTAAGCCAGTGACGAAATAAAATCAGTCTACAAAATTTTGATGCTTTCAATACGACAATAATGGAAGGTTAATTAAAATTACAACTGGCATGGGAAACCTTTCTTTCACACAGGCCTTAGTGCATTATCTTGCCACCCTGACAGGTCCCCTTAAACACCTGCCATCGTCTCCACTGCCCCTCAACACACCTGGATATCGTTAAGATTTTTGTGAATGAAGATGGAGTCTGCGGTCACCGAGACAAAGGTGGTGGGAATGTAAATGACCTCATCTGGTCCATTCCTTAGGTACAAATCCTCCGGCACCTTCACGCCGTTCACCCTGCCAGACACAGTCAGCTCCGACCCCACCTCCAATCCTCCTACCGTGTGCACACCTGACAGGGGAAACGTTTAATGAAATTTTCACACGCTCTTGGTCAGTGGCCACAGTCCTAACAGGATCCAACTAAGAACTAAATTAACAAGATTTGGACCACTTTCTAATAAGAGCCCCACGCCTCATGGGCAGAGTTGTAATGGGATCCTTTCCCAATGGTTAGGTTAAAGGCACGTAACAATTAGTCCTAGGACCCAGTGTGCCCAACAACCTAATAAATCTGTAGTCTTAAATGTTAACACTTTAATTTTCACTTTAGTTTAGCTCCAAAAATGAACTATAAATTTAAGTTTAAACCCGAGGTGACGCCCACACCCAAACTACGAAATTCGTCCTCTGGTGAAAACCGAAAACTTCCACTTAATAAACTCATTTGGTCAGAAAATACAATATTAAAACATCACTCACCGCCGCCCGTATCAAAGTGAAATAAGTTATTCCCCGTTTAGTTGAAAAATTACTAATTAAGGATTCTTTGGAGCAGTTAGCCATAAATTATAACTTTTACTTGTAAATGATGAACTTGCCTGTGATGGTCTGCAGGTCGGTGGTGGTATGAAGGAGGGCAGTGTAGAAGGCGGTCTCAGGGTCTAATGGGGTTAGGACCCTTGTGCTCATCATGGTCGGTGCCACCAGGTTCCCCATCACCCTTATCAGACCTACAAAAAAAATGCATTAGAACAAAGCGCTGCCTTTGTACTCTTATGTAAATTAGAAGACACGCACTTTATTTTGGCCATCCAACTTTGCAACAGATCACGGTTGGTTATTTGCATATATATAGCTAGTACAAGTGAATAACCAATCATCACCGGTTATGTTTTGCGAGACATCCTTCAGCACCAGGTCATCCAGGAACTTGGTGAAGGGCTGATCGTTGAGGAGGTAGAGGTGGAGGCTGGGTGTGTAGAGGGAGGCCATGGTGACGCGTCCTTGTAGGTGCTGCTCCCCGACGGTCAACAACAGGTTTCCATCCACCACGACACCATCCACTACAAAGTTAAATATCCATCTGGTTACAGTAAACATTTTAGAAGCTAATAGGATCTCGCTTACACATTCTAAGTCATGTGTGAAGAGAGAGTAGCGTCAATACAGGGCATCAACATTCTAAAGAAGTGAGTAATGTAAAGGCAGAAAACGTAGACGTCTGTTCAACAAAGACTAGACTCCAAAAAGTGAACTAGTTATTAGAATTAGAGGTTTGATACAATTAAGCTAAGGCTACAAGGATTGGGGGGCATACAAGGACTAACTTGAGTATGCTCTCACCTGTGCCAGCTACCTGAAGAGCCTCCACCTTTATGAACCCGAAGTTCTTCTCCCCGACGATGGTATGAGAGCCAGTGAGAGTCACCAGTTGGGAGGTGGGAGTCAAGGGCAGACCAGGACCACTGAGGAAGGCCACAGTCGCTGTCCCGCCCTTAGTTATGACCACGTCACTCAGAGTGAGGTTAAGTTCCCCGTTGTCTTTATGTAACCAAACAGCGTTGTTGAAGGTGCTATCGACGCCGTTGATCTGGGAAGGATGCGACTGATGATGTACCGTCTTATGATACTTATTAAAACAGATGGCACACACTATATGAACCTTTAGTACCAATAATACAAGACGAATCTAGGCAGCCTATTTTACATTTAAATCAATACAAGAAGAATTGATAATTATTAACTATATACCTTGGCTGTCAGACGGCTGTACCTGTCCAGCAGCAAGAGTATATTAACGTGTACCCTTTAGCGAGCAAAAATCCATTACGGTTTCAAAACTCCCCTTAAACAATCCAGGGACGCCTTAGCTCACAATACTATTTCATTACTCTACTCGGGATACATTATATATAAACATGTAAGAGAAGGACGGGAAGCGGGACTAACTAACAAGCACAAATGTCTTCCTCAGGTAATTAAAATTTTAGGTGTAGTCCAAGTGTGCTAGTTTCAAGAGTACTGTTGTGTTAAATGTCTGGTGGACAGTCATCTGTACATAGTGACAACGAGGACACTCATCTACAGTACAGTGTGTAGAGGACAAGTGTCTACTCTAGACTGGACAGCAGTGAGGAGGAGGAGGTTACTACACCAGCAGCACCTACTTACCTCCTGTACCTGCAGGTTGGCCACATAACAACCATCTCGCTGCCCACCACCACCACCATCAAGCCTACACGTTATCCTCAGGGTCGAGAATTTGTGACCATCTGGGGGGGAAATTGAAGTCGGTAACATTACACCGGACAGCAGGAATGTGAAATTTTAAAAATACAAAAGGTGTATCTATACATTACTGCAGCCCAAAATGTATACATCTATACATTCTAGAACCCAAAATACATACATCTTATTGTGTACGAGTCATTGGCACACAAGTCATTCATTCACTCATAAAAAATGATTTAGGTCTTTTCAACTTACGGAGGTTAGGTTGGTATAGCCTCATAGAGCGGCCAAATTGAGTGCGGGACTCCCTCTCTAACCGCGTCAGCTCCCGCAGCTTGTTAAACACCCTCATGATGCTCACAGTGATCTCGTCTGTCACCTGGATGCCCTCTGGATTGACCGTAATCTAAAAGTAAAATACAGTACAAGATATTACCATCTATAATCGTTAACTGGGATACTGGTTTTATATAACTTAAACCCCTCGAGTATGATACTAAAAGGTACGATTATTCAACCCTCGAGGAGGAGGATTCAACCTTTGATTATAAAGACACTTCGAGGACGAGCACGATGACTTAACCCCTCGAGCACGATGACTTACTTACGGGGTTATGCCATAATACTCGAGGGGTTCAGGGGATAAATGCCGGTTACTCCAGGGAACTTTACTGTAATTGTAGCGACTGAGGCAAAAAATCTATAGGCTTTGAAACTTAAATTACGGCATACAGGAGACACGCGAATTATATGGTTGTACGCTGGACAGGGAGTGTAATATTGCCAACAGCGCCTGAAATGGGAGATAACTACACATGTACTTTAATACCAACAACCTATCAACATCGATACACCCCAAATAGCGAACCGAACATTACCCTAAACTATTCAGCGAGCAATTAACTTCTTTCAAAACCATCGAGTCATTAATTCCGTGTAAACCAAATCATGAGTATTGTAGACATAATTAATGTTGATTTTTGTATTTACTTTTTTTAACGAGTACATGATATTACCGAGTTAAATGGCTAAAGTAATTAAGTCCAATTTTTTTTTTTTTTTGGGAGGGGGGGTTTCAGTATGGAGTTCCCTCCCTGATGCTATGAACACATACCAATATGGTTCGTGAAAATCCTTTGAGCCAGATAAGTGTTTATATTAACAGTATTTTTGGGTCCTATATATGCTCAGGTCCTTAATAGATCGACAGGGGACAATAGTAGTGAGGATGGGACACTTACAGGATCCACTTGGGACACGTAGCCTTGGTAGTGGACAGTGAGGTCGCCGGTGATAGTGACATGTCGCGTGAAGGTGTAAGACTCCTCCCTGTTGGTGCAGATACCAGCCTTCACCATTGCCCCGGCCAGGTCGTCACCCATAATCCGTTCAGTGAATGACTCGCACCACGCCCGGGCCTCTCTATGGTAATCCTGACGCAGCCACAGCAAGAGGTTCAGGATTAATTTGGTTTAGGGTTAACTTTAAATTCAGTAATGGTGAAACAAACTACTATGTACTTCAAAGTAACCTTCTCTGAATTTGTCTAAAGAATTCACTATACAAATGATTTTAAACTGAATCCTCTTTAAGGGCAGTGTTTTAGTACACACTAGTCCCCAACCAATAATGATTAAGAAGTGTGTAGGCTAGATCTTAGGTGTGGTGGGGGTGTACAGTACTCCCAGGGGTGGGGGTGTACAGTACTCCCAGGGGTGGGGGTGTACAGTACTCACCGCCAGGGGGCTGATGTACTGCCACTGTGTGTAGAACACCAACGGACGGTTGGTTGGGTCCTGGGGATTGGCTACCGTAACCACCACCTGGTTCAAGGTATTTGGTAGACTACCAATCCACACCCTCTCTGCTCCCTGTACCATCAAGGTAAATAGTAAGGTAAACAATAAGGTAATCAACTAGTAAACAATGGAATAAACTGTTTAGAATTTCATATAGCCATCTTCATAGGGAGGAGTTTTATACACCTTCGAAAGATGGAAAAAATGGGTTTGAAGAATCTAGAGGAAGAATAGTTTACCACTTGAAGAGTAGTGAGAATGTATAGTGTACGTACAGCAGTGGAGACCTTGAAGTTTATATTGACGAAGGTCCACCCGTTGTATTGGTAGAAGGCCACCCCCGTCTGACCGTTGACCACTGCCAGTAACAGCTCACCCTGGGGGCCCTGTGACACATCGACACTTTTTGGATGAACACGGTACAAAAAATAATAAATCTAAATAAAAATTCCTTGATCGATCACCTATATTCAGGTAAACAGAGCCTGGAACACTTGGCTGCCTTGGGATTCAAAATCATTTATTGCTTCAACTTCAAATGTCTGCAATAACTTGTAGGCAAAGTGTACACCCAGGCAACACTACTTCGTGCATTATCTAACTAACCTTTTACGTTCTAAATGTAAAGTAAAACTAGTACTTCCGTCACAAGAAAAAAATAATGGTTCCATAAATTCCTTCTATTAGTCCAAGATACATTCATATTCACATCAAGGTTAATATTGACTTAATATTCCTATAACTGTATGGTCTATTGAATGACTTGACAAGACTTCAGTATATTTTTTTCGTATGACGGACTAGGAGTATCCTCTGAAGGGCATCATAGATAAAACAAAGTAATGATCAAGTTGTATAGAGGGGGTAGTGTTTACCCTTCATTTAAAGAGTAAAGATGTATCTAATTGAAGCAGCGCAAGGGAGGAGGATGTTCCAATAACGAGAATGAGCGACGGGTGAATCATAATGCAGACTAAATTGAAATTGCATGGTGCCAGGGGTAGAAGGATTCCAGAGCGTGGGGATGACCGATTAAGGTAACTAGGGGGTGGTGTGACCGATTGTGGTTGACTAGAGATGGTGACCGATCAGGGGTACTAAGGGTTGGGGGAAGGGTAGTGACCGATTTGGGGGACTAAAAAGGATGGCGACCGATTTGGAGGACTAGGGTATGGTGGAGACCGATTTGGGGGGGTGACTGGAGGGTTTTAATATCACCGGTACCCTAACAATGAAGACCCAAATTAGAAAAGAATCCTAATCCAACATGAAAGGGGGAAGATGAAGGGGGTAGATGAAGAGGGAAATGAAGGAGGGAGATGAAGATGAAATAATAACTTGTATCCGAGGAGAATTGACTTGGAGATGTAAATAAACAAGATTGTAGAAGGAGACCAAAAAAAAAAAAGTCTTAAAACAGTTGTGTACGGGACCTGGTAAACCGCCCACTCCCTGGCGCCGTAAGTCTGGATGCATTGGAAGGGGATGAATTTGTTGTCTTCGTAGCGGTAGATTACAGACTCAACAGCGTAATTCCGGTTCCCTTCTGTGGCAAATGAACATTAAATACGATAATTTTTAACATGCCTATCTGTGGTACAACTATTAGTATGCTCATCTGTGGTACAACTATTAGTATGCCCATCTGTGGTACAATAATCTATTTCCCTCTGGAACAAGCAGTAAAACCAATGGCCTTTAATGACTGTACAGGAATAACACGTCCAGTTATGACCATCCTATCCTTAATTGTTATTCCTATCAGCACACACGGGGAGATATTCCAGTTTTATCTTCTGTGTACGAGGAGTTTCATACCGTAGTCTAGTGTGTACTCATTGGCCACAGCGAGGAAGTACTCTGCGTCTGGCCCGCTGGTGAAACTGAAGGCCACCCAGTCTCGAGCTCCTCTGGTTAGGATCCTTTGGAAGGGCTGCATCCTCGACCGTGTCGGATCGTAAACAAAGATCTCGCTCTCGATGTTCGGGTTACCTGTACGAGAGGGTGGGGGGTGGGGGGGGAGCAGTCAAGATAACAGTTATCGGACTTTATGGAACTACGGATCAAGTTCAATACAGATTATCCAGGTTTAAGGGGAGAAATAACACATTCACTAGGGTTTAGAGATCTACCAGACCCTCCTTGTGTCAGCTACTTCTCGCCTCACCTTGCATTACTAAACCACAAATCTTAGATTCCCTTAAAATATTTCAAATTATCATTGAGTATTTATATAGTAAGTGAACCCAAAGGCAAATCTTTAAGTAACATACTTCACTATATGGTCATATGGGCCCCAAGACTCGTGTTAGATAATGTACAAGCAAACGTGAATACATGTTGCTGTACCTGGGTACTATTACACACCTTTGTCATCATGGTGGTTGGCGACGACCAGGAACTGCCTCGACTGGATGGTGAACGCCTCGACCCCCATGGCGTGCTTGGTGTTGAAGGAGGCGCTATCCAGACGGTCATAACTGCTGTACACCTCGAGGGACGTCATGACCGTCACCTGTACAACGCTTCTTTAATGTCTCCATCACTACAACTTGTGCACATTATCATCACTTACACTCACCACCGCCCCCCGCCCCTCCCTCCACGAAAAAGTACAATATTGTTACTTTTTCCGTTCTTTACATTTTCAAACGTTGAATGAAAGGTTTGGATATATTCCCTAAAGCAAAGTATGTTTGTATGCTTTTGGGTGACAGTATTCAAGTATACATACATTTATGAAGTATCTACGGAAATAAACCTTAAATTACTCATTTTGAAATTCCGGCAGTTCTGGACAAGAAAGTTTACTCAATATGTTTCCGTGCAGATAAAGGTGCATACTCGTACCTGTAGTCCGCTGTACCAACCGTTCAGACAGATGGACTAACACTGCTCAGAAAACCTCGAATCACATCGATCCAAGGGTTACCAACTTTTTTTTGTGGAGAAGGGAGGAAAGGGGGGGGGAGATAGATACATCATTATCGACACCAAACAATTATTCTGGTAAGCATTAACATTAAACTGATAAAAAGAGTTTCTAAGACCTAATTCACAAGATTGGTATTTGTCGGGAAATTCGACGGATCGGACACGTGATTAGTGACATATCAGGGAATTTAATTAGTAGAACAATTGGTTTTTCGTCTAAATTTTTATGTATTCTTTATTATAATTCCAAGACATTTGATGGATTTATTATAATTTGTCCCATTCATGTATTAAGTTTATTAGGAAACGTACCACTTTTAAGACATCACCGGCGGCAACCTGGCTTAATACGTTGCCAGACATAACTTTTTACAGCGCATCAACCAACAACTAGGCTAATGATTCAACCTCTTAAACTATACAGCTGATCCTTTAGGTGGGGACGGGTGTAGTGGAGGTAGGAAATAATCTAATTGGCAAGTCAACTCACGGGCGATTAGGATTTTTACACTGATTACAACAATAATCTCTTACTAACCTTTACCTTATAGATGACACTGTTGATCTCGCCCGTCTGCTTGGTGTAGTCGTAGGAGTTAGCGAACGCCAGGAAGGTATCATCGCCTGTCCTCCTGTAGGTGTTGTGAAAATTGTGTAAGACGTGGCAGAATAATTCAGGGCAGGATGCAAATGCATTACAGGAGGATCTAAATAAACTGCAGGGGTGGTCTGAAAAATGGCAAATGAAATTCAACACCAGCCAGTGCAGCGTACTTAATATTGGAAGAACAAATACTGTCAATGTATACAGCCTTGACATCAACCTAGAGAAGTCGACTTGTGAAAGACCTACGGGTACTTGCAAGCCCGGACCTACGGCCTAGAAAACAGTGCATTAATGTTCGAAATAAGGCAAACAGTATTGGGTTTTATATCTAGAAGTGTAAGTAACAAGAGTGCAGAGGTCTTATTGCAACTATATCTTGCGCTAGTCAGGCCGCACCTCGATTATGCGGTTCAGTTCTGGTGCCCCTATTATAGAATGGATATCAATTCACTGGAGTCGGTGCAGCGAAGAATGACGAAAATGATTCCGGGACTTAGAAAACCTTCCATATCAGGATAGGTTAAAGAAACTAAACTTGCATTCCCTAGAAATACGAAGAGTGTGAGGAGATAAGATACAAGTATTTAAGTGGGTGAAAGATATAGATAAAGTTCTTATAATATCCGAGCAGGAAAGGATTCGGAACAACGGATTCAAGTTGGATAAGTTTAGGTTTAGGAGGGAGATAGGAAGGAACTGGTTCACAAATAGGGTGGTGGACGAGTGGAACAAGCTTAGCAACTTTGTAGTAAGTGCTGGAAATTTTCAAAGGGAGGCTGGATAGATTCATGGATGACAGAGTGGTAGTAACTCTCGACAGGAGCTGCCATGCACAGGCCAACCGGCCTATTGCACTCCTTATTTTCTTATGTTCTTATGTGTAATAATGATCGCTAAATTAAACCATGACTTAAGTTTTTTTTTTAAGTCCAAAAATTATGAAATGCGAGCAGTATTAAAAATATACCATACGAGAAGTGTGAAGGGGACCTATAGCTGCCTTATAACACGTCATGCCCCGCAGGGAGTGAGAACACTAGTTCAACAATACAATTTAGCTGAAGAGGGAAGGAGAAAACCGTTTCATTAAAGCTTAATTGATATATCCACAAATTTCCTCTTATCTACAGCTTGTATAGGTAATATACAACAAGCATACTGTACACTATTCTAAGCTGGAATTAGAGTTTCCCTCTTAAGAGGCAATGCAAAAATGTCAAATATCACTTTGAATTAACTTCCGTATTATGAAATTTATCATTAGGAACCCGAGATTATATTCCACTTCTTTGTTTAACTCCCTCTCAGCCTTGTCCCACTCATCTCTTGTGACTAGTTTATTCCTCTCCCCTCGATAAGCTGACCCTTCCTCAGACCGTCAGCCACCAGGGAAGGGACGATACAATAACTTCTACCAGTAGGTGTGTGTGTGTGTGTGTCCAAGGGGCTCTACCACAGTGTTACGCCCGTATTATTTATCATCATCATCATCAATTGAAGAGGGGTTGTCGTGTTTCAACTCGAGTTTTTAACTAAATGAGTCCTGAGGGACACCGCAGTACTGCACTTAATAGGTGATGTGGCAGTAAAATTAACGAATTCCAGGAGAAGATAAGAGGTTTAAAAATACGGGCGTTAGTATGCCTAATTACAACCATTAGAACGGATCCAGTAGGATTGCCGGTTTAGGACTGGGGCCACTGACCAGCACCTGTGGCATACTCACCACATCGTCACGTCCTGGGCGCCTGAAGTCGAGAGGCCACGCTTGAATGCTACCTGGAGGCCGTTTGTCCAGGTGACCCGGTACACGCCACTCCCGACCTGTGGACACGAGGCCAGTTCACACACCAACTACAAACAAGGTTGTTTAAAGCGACACCCGTCGAGGTAAACTGGATCCAGTACAGTAAATACTAAACCTTCTGTACTCGAGACTGTCGCTAGCATCAATATTCTAACGTCTTTACATCCCCAAACTGTCGAGACTTTCACACAAACAAACTACTTAAAAGCATCAAACACCAAGCAGCTCACCCGTATCTTGTCTGGGAATTGGTCTGCCAGGGACTCCACACACACCAATTCAATGAAGATATCCAGCAGCAGCACTGGTTGACACTTTTGGGCACCCAAGGTTGGCACCGACGTCGACTGTAGTACATCACTCTCCTGAAACGTACTTTACTTTATAGTCAAGAGTTCGATAGTGTCTAAAGATTTCTAAAGTACCAGACTTTTATCACTACCTCTATACAACTTTTGTCTATACCAGGATGACCCGTCGACTTAGCCGCCTGAATACAAACATCACATTGAAAAACGTCTCTAGACTTTTACTTGTAATGTCACTTTCTCGTCTCCCAGCCCCACACAACCCACCAGACTTCACTAAAAGTTTGGTCTTTTCTTCACATCCCTTCTGTCTTCCATGGTCTGCCTCATCCTCGTTAACACATCTTTCACCAACCAAAAGTCCTTTCATTTTCCTTCCCCATCCCCTTTGCGACTTCCCCTCGTTCAAAAAACTCACCAATTATCTTAAAGTTTGCCTTCCTTTCCATTTCTTCGTTCGTACCATTCATTCACAACACATTTCAACTCCCATATACTCTTCCCCCTACCCTCACGTCCCGTTCCTTCTATCCCTTCCCTAGGCCACCACGCACCAGGTGTAGCATGTAGACGTGTAGAGTACCCGGGTTCTGGAGTGTGTAGGAGCTCGTCACCAGCCAGAAGAGGAGGCCGGCGTGCTCCACCATCACCATAGAGATGGCTCCACTCGGCGACGCGAACGTTTTCAACTTCATGTTTACGTTTTCAGTCAAGCCAGTCATCATCCAATAGCCTGGGTGTATGAGCGCATTATATCAAAACATTTCATGGTTTATCTTTGGTTAACTCCACATCCTGTTTGCAGTTGGTTTCAGTTACATTATGTTGAAAAATTGAACTTTAAGATTATTTTACGGTGCTGTATCAAGCTTTACTGGTTTTGTAAATAGTTAATTTAGCCCGTTCATGACAGCCGTTTACTTTGGCTTACGTGTAGCTCACGGTATACGCGTATTTTTATCACCTTAGTTTATTTCATATTCTTAAAGATCCTGACCAAAGGAAACCGCAATACAAGGAAGACTCACCCTTCAGGTCCCTGGTGAGTTTGGTGGGGACGGCGTGAGCTCTGCGTCGTCTGTGATGCACCTCCACTAAAGACTTCATATGATCCTGCCATGTCGTCACAGCATCCACCCGGAACCTTGCCATAAGAGCTTCTGTAAAACCAAGAGAGATGGTTTAGCTATTGAGTACGAGGGAAAAACAGCAGACAAGACAACACCAGTGGACTACATCTTCCTGCAGACAACGATGGAAGATTTAGGCAAGTTACCCAATTTACTGAAACCATTAAGAATATTAAAGGGAAACTAAAGTAAATGTTAAAACGGATGACGGACCTTTACTTAGCCGTGTGTATTCAGTCTTGATATTTTTACTTTACGCTCAGTGAAGCTGCTCGAGGATTCAGGCTTGTTCAGGATGCTCCCCTTTAAGTATTTGTAAAGGTACGTAGACACGTTTGTGCGTGTGTTAAAACTACATTTGATGGTTTGATTCTGTTGTAGATGCCTTACATGCCGTAGCTTCCATGTTTATATATTAGTACCATTTTAGGGGCTTGAACTACCAGGCACGAATACATTAAAAACCTTTCACTTTATCTTAGTTTTTACAACACGTAATTATCATGTAAATACTTTAACACCTACTGTAGTCTTGACGCCGAAAATGTAAAGGAATTTTTAAGAATTTACAAATAATAAACCAGTGTTGCAGGTACGAGTTAAACCTTTAGGGAAGACCTGTCAACCACTCTTATGTCCTCTACTGTCAACCACAGACAGTTAACATTGGACTTTAAGCTCAACCCGAGTCTTAACCTCGACGATTCTGAAGTGGTAATGAAACATTCACCAAAACATAACATTACGCTCTATGAAAATATCTTATTGGAAGCGAATCCAGGTTATAGTTTTAGAATGACAACCAAACAGGAACTATGATGAACAAAAGCATATAGATGTTTACGCTTTCGTGATAGACAACGAGTTGCAAAACTAGATTATTGTTGTTGACTTTGTATCTACTATACTCTGGCTAAAAACTTTCCATTCCAAGTACGGTATTTCCTTCTCGATTCATATTTAGAAACGTCTTTTATAACCAACCCCACAAAGTGTAATAAATTTAATGGTATGACTTATTTTTTTACAGAAGCAAGGCCCGTAAATAATAATGCTTTAAAATACAAGTACAGCTCTTAACATTGTTACTCCCAGATTAGTACTTAAGGATTTCAACTCCTTTTCTCGGAGCACCAAGAGCTACGAGGACTGTGACAAATGCCACAAATGTTTCTCAAGATCAACAAAGTCCAGCTTCATGACCACACCAATAAAAATTTGACTCCAGTGGATTACCACAAAAATTTACTCTTTTACTAAACCTTTCCTCAAAGTAAACGTGGATATAACCAAATTGGCCAAAAGAACACAGTACTCTCCTCTTGCCCTGCTAGCCATCGACCCATTTAAAACCACTTTCTAACCTCACATTCTCAACCCCCCCCGCCCCCCTCTTCCCCCACGTTTGGCTACGATTAACCTTGAACCATCAGGATCTATAAACCGGCTCCTAGAGACCTATGGCAGCCCTAACAAGTTGGTAGATGGATTTGTTTACTCACGTGAACCTTTTAATCCCCGTTTACCTTTGTCGTGGGTCATCGTCACGGTGTGGAGGCTAGACCACACCTCGTCCAGCAGCCGGCCGCCGTCGTCGCCAGGGATGGTTACGTTCACTTCCACGTAGTCCATCGCCAAGGTGTGATCCAGGGGGTCCTCTTGCCTCATCTCAGCTGCCGCGTCATATACCTTAACAGTTCATTCTAGTGTTAGTGTACAACCCAAATCCGTACCAAAATACTATAATAACTGCAGTATATGGCCGGTTAAACTAATAAATACTGTATATGCATCAATCACCAATATCCTCTACATAAAACTTCAAAAATCCGTAAAACTATAGGTATTAGGTTCATAATATCAAGCATTAACATGAACAAATAAACTAACTCTCCCCTAAGACCTCCTCCCACCACTCACCACCAGCAGCAGGACCGCCAGGATCAACACGCCCCACAAGGAGGTCAGCGCCATGATCCCCGTTCTGCAGACACCTTTGTCCTGATGTACACTGCCGGCGAGAATAAAAATCCATTAATGTCTATTCGTCACTGAACCACATACAAAGATCCTCTGTAAAAATGGTGTAAAATCAGTAGCGTCTTTGTCCTCACCTCATGTACAGGTGTTAATAGTCTTAAGTCAGAACCATTTAACTTTGCTCTGAAAACCACACTTATATTGTAGAGGACCACCACCACATATAGCAAGAGACTACCATCAAATATGTCAAAGGAACTACCACTACAGACTTGTTTAGTTTAGGTCGTATGCTATCGAAGGCTTAACGCCATAGCCCTCCCTAGAAACTTGAAACAGATTAAGAGCTATTTTCATAGTTTTCTTTCTAGTCTCGCTAACAAATTTACATTCTATAATTGAAATAAACTCTGGTAAAATACCGAATAAAAGAAATTAGGAAACGAATGAACTTCACTATACGTCTTGGGTACGGAGGATTGATGCTAGGCTCCGGTAGCAATGTCGCGTCGTTATAAGCGATAACACCAAAAGAAAAAGACTTAAAAGTACCATTACACTTTATATTCACCAGGATAAAAAAAAAGAAAGAGAGAGTCGGAGTTGCTATATAAATTCATGCTATTTGGCGAATTCCATACCCATATTTCCCCTACCATTGTTTACCAAACCTTATCTAACCAATCTACCTCTGAATGATCCAATATTGCCTATAACAACCAATGACACCATGATCAAAAGAATATACGAAGCCTTACTTACGTTAACACATCAGATTATCTCCCATATAAAACTACTATGTGACGTGAATACACTTCCAACAACAACAGACAGGAAGACTTACAGCAACTAAACCTCTTATAATGCGTCTTTGGCGGTGACGGGGAGTGAACTGCTGCTGCATATCATAAACTATCAGCAAAGACGGTTATTTTAGGACAGTTACATGACCAAGACTAGACTGTCAGTACTGTATAGCGGTGTCAAGCAGGTGTGGTTGTAAGTTACGGCATCACGACAACAGATGGCGCGCAAATGGTTAGGTGCCTTGACACTGCCATCAAGTCGAGTTCCAGGAAAAATAAATGAGGCTATTAGGTAATTTACTGTATAATCATTCTGGACGAAGGCATTAGGTCTACCAAGGTTCTATGCATATATGTATAGTGTGTGTTTATATATGCTACTAGGATACATGGAGAAGAACCTCCATGTGTTGATGTAGAGGAGTATAATGTGTTGCCTCCAATTACGTAATTAATTTCCGGTATTCTTTTGTAACTGTATGCTGGACCTTTCCATCTTTTCCCAATTAGAAAAACTACGATAAGGTAAAACGACTTCACATACTCCAGTAAACAGAAAGACACCACTATGTTTATTCAGGAAACATGAAAACACCTTAAATTATAAAGTCCCACAATAGAATTAAAATTTGGTAGGGAGGTGCGAGTGGTGTAGTAGTGAATACGTCAAAGAACACAGTCTCCTTCATCTCACCTCCACCCGGGTAATGCACTTTTTTCAGTTCATCAATCCATCAATTGTGTTAAGCTAGAGTGAAGAAACTAGTAAAAAAAAAAAAAAAAAAAAGGAATATTCGAGAAGTACACAGTTGTTGGTATGGTGGTCGTTCTCATATCCTCTCAGCTTGTTGCCTGTGGTGATCGACTGGGGGGGAATTCAGAGAAAAATTTATATAAATATCATAGCGAAGACAAAGAAGCTCTCCTCTCTCTGTATACAACATCAACTGCTTCATGATTTGGACGTAAAGATTAATTTTCTTCTTAGGAAATTAAATTATCACCTGTTCTCATTTCTTCCGTGTTCTTCCTCCTTCATCCATTTCTTTTGTTCTCACTTCTTCTTCTCTTTGTTCCCTCTTCTTCTTTTCCTTCTCCCTCTACGTCTACTGTTCACCCTACCTGACACAACCTTGTGAGACTTTGAACAGAAAAAAAAAATATATATCTTTCTCTCCTACGCCCATCTTAGGACTCGACCCCACGACCATCAACTGCCAATCCCACTCGCCCACTGCGCCTCTGAAGAGTATAAAGGAGAGTGTTTTATAGGCTATTAAGGGGCTTTTTATACAGGGGCTTAGGCTCTGTCCTTGTTTCACTAAGGATTTATATATCGGCTTTAGGAAAAGTTTACGTTCTTTTCAGTCCTAATTGACTCGAGTCCTAATTGGCTCGAGTCCTAATGGGCCCCAGGTCTCAGTAGGTTCCATTCCTAATAGCTCTCTAACCTATCTTAATTGATAGTATCTGAACCTTTCTTAACCTAACCTATCCATTAGATATCGGTTTTATTGAAAGGAAATTTAAGTTTTGATTAAATTAGTAAGAACGAAATTAGTTAGTTGAAGGTCTCATTGGTAAGGTTAAAGAGAATTGGAAGAAAAAATAAAAGCTAAATTATTCTCTCGCCAAAATACACTATTGTCAACACCGCTATGGTAATACTAACACCTTTATGATATTACTAACACCATTATATTCCAGATCATTTAAAATATCACCGAAGAACCTGAACAAAACGAACGCCTTGTATACATAAAGTACAGGACAATAATTCGAATAGAGAAATTGTGTATTGGTCGAGAAAATATTTTTGTTTCTGAATTAATTAATAAATTCAGTTCGAAATATTTTCCAAGTAAATGTTCCTGCGATATTAAACATTATGTAATACAGAGGTCAAAAATCATGCCTGTGATAAATTAGAAGTTGGTCAGAATAAATAAGAAACGACCGGGAAGGAAGGTGATGTATCTACAGGAATATTTTATCTTCCCTGAGTTGTGGGTAAAAGTTCTTTATCAGTTATTACCTTCCTCCTCACCTGTATCAGTTAATGAACACACACACACGCACACACACACACATATATATATATATATATATATATATATATATATATATATATATATATATATATATATATATATATATATATATATATATATATATTGATATATATTGATAAAGCCACACAGGAAAAGGGAAACAATGAGCAACCTTACAAAACATCAGGTCAAGTCAATAGCGTGGAATCTACTAACCCACACACAACCACCACCACCACCACCACCACCACACACGAAAGAAGAGCTTATAAAAATGGGCGACGTAACTAATCATGTCAAGTTAGGTAAAAAATATGAGACCCACTAATCATCCACCCTACATTTACCTCAAATGCATTCAAAGCATTTTTAACCTTGGGCCACTGAAAAATAAATTTATGTAACATATTATCAGTTTTTTACCATCACTAAGGTTTATAGAATTCATTTCCGTAATCAACCTTGCGTCAACGAGAAGTCTGTCTGTGTGGTGTGCGGTGGAGGTGGAGTGTGGATTAGTGGATCCCATGTCATTGACCTGACCTGATGTTTTGTAAGGTCACCTTATGTATATAAGCGTCTCAGTCTCTGTAAATTCAGTTGCCTCCGAAGATGTCTTGAATAAAGACGAAAGCAAATGTGCTCCAGTGTTTCCCTTTTCCTGTGTGGCTTTATGAAAAAAAAATATATATATATATATATATTGGCAGGGTTAAGAGGTTTACGCAGGATTATACGTTGTTTGGTAGGGTTATCCAGGATAGTGTTATATTTACTAGGATGATTAACCTGAACCATTGCATTGTAAAAGTCTAAATCCCGCTCCAGTATAACATTACAGTTGTTTTTGTAACATTTAATACCCGGGTCAGTGCGGTGTGTAATTGGTTGACTGCACTTCAGCTTCATAATAATGAACGGTATCATGTGTGTGTTTGTTGAGGGTAATGCTGAACACAGTGGTGGGTTGAGTTACATCAGAGGGCTGGTGTTGATGGAGTTCTCTCTTTGCTATCACTCGGAGTCGAGCATGACGATCACCGAGCGATAACATGTGTGGAGCATTACGTCTAGTGCGGGAGGGGCGTCGGCAGCGTCATTCCGACGTTAGAGTTTGTCTGCCTCGACACGTTACATCTTAATAGGTTTCTACACCATAAAGTAATCCCCCATAAAGAGCCACGGTTGGAGTGATGGTCTCCCAGGTGTGGGTATTGATTTGGCACATTTTAATTTAGTCTTGAGTGTTACTTGTATCTCTTCTATTGGTCACCACCTCGCCAGCGCCTTAAGGTGTCTGTATGTCTCGCTGCCATACAACAGGGTGGGAAGGACCACTACGTGATAGACGAGCGGCTATATTTATGGTTTCAACTTCCTACAACTGAAGACATGGGTAAACAGTCAAACAGTTTGCCAAAGGTTTAAGAATCACATCTGGTCCAATGTTGGATGTCCTCGTCAGGTCCGCAGTGGTGGGAAGGTGGGAGCCAAGGTGTCAGGTGTGACGTGTGGCTGGAATCCATCTCCCTTAAAGCCTCGATCTGCCAAAATAGACAAGTAGAAATTAAATTATTTCTCTCTCCAAGAAACGGTATCCTTTACCACTTTGTTCCTGATGGTGAAATACGAAGGAATTAGAGGCAAGTACAGGAAGTCTAGCATATAAAGATTCCTCAAGGTGTAAATTAATTTAATGCGGAGGAAAAACAAAATCCCTCTTGCCAGCAGAAGATGTGAGGGTGTGTTTACTTTATTGTGAGTAGGCTCTGAGCAGATCTATTTAAGTCACTAATGGAAGTAGAGTTCCCTTGCCTGAGCTAATGGAACAGCTCTGAGCTAAGTCATAAAGGAAGCGCATTATCAATACACCTCAATTTTACCAAGTTAAAAGGTTCCCTCGACTTACAACCAGACCTTAGACAACGGGGAGGTTTAACACAGGCCTCGAGGTAAACTCCCTAAAAGGTGTGTTTCTGGTAATAATGAAACTAAATCTCTGGCGATAAAAATCCCTCAAAAGTCTATCCGTCTTGATTCACTCCTCCAGCCATTATTCCTTTCAACGAGTTTTGGTTAGGTTAGGTTAGGACCACATCAGGGGTTCGCATAGGTGACACGATACTGTTTTTTTACAGCCTGTGTTTCTCTTAAATGACTCACAATAAAATCTTTCTCTACCGCAGTGACTCCTTCTGTCGACGTTACTAAAAGCTCTCTCTCTCTCTCTCTCTCTCTCTCTCAGACATCTTTATCTTTCTCTCGTTTGTCTTCCTCAATTATAGATATTTTCCTTGTCTGTTTGTTATCAGTTGTCATTAAAGGATATAAACCTGAGATGTTCTCCTTCACCACAAACTACGCCTTTTCTAACCTAACCTAACCAAAACCCAACCTAACCTCACCAAAACCCAACCTAACCTCACCAAAACCCAACCTAACCTCACCAAAACCCAACCTAACCTAACCAAACCAAGCCTAACCTAACCAAAACCAAACCTAACTTAACCAAAACCCAACCTAACCTAACCACAACCTAACCTAACCTCACTAAAACCCAACCTAACCTAACCACAACCCAACCTAACTAACCAAAACCCAACCAAACCCAACCAAACCCAACCTAACCCAACCAAACCCGACCTAACCCAACCAAACCCGACCTAACCCAACCAAACCCAACCAAACCCAACCAAACCCGACCTAACCCAAACCCAACCTAACCCAACCAAACCCAACCCAACCCAAAACCCAACCCAACCTCACCAAAACACAATCACAACCCAACCTAACCTAACCAAAACCCCAACCTAACTTAACCAAAAACCCAACCTAACCTAACCACAACCCAAACCTAACTTAACCAAACCCAACCTAACCTCACCAAAACCCAACCTAACCTAACCACAACCCAACCTAACCCAACCAAACCAAGCCTGTCCTCTAAATCAAAACCCAACCTAACCTAACGAACCTAACGAAAACCCAACCTAACTTAACGAAAACCCAACCTAACCTAACCACAACCCAACTTAACCTAACCAAAACCCAACCTAACCTAACCACAACCCAACCTAACCTAACCAAAACCCAACCTAACCTAACCATAACCCAACCTAACCTAACCAAACCAAGCCTAACTAGATAATTCTATGTTTCTCCCTTGAAAATTTCCCTCATTTCCCTAAACTCTTTTAATTAATTACCTAACGAGGTAATCAAGTGCTGTTAAGTAGGATGAAAAATGTCCGCCATTCCAATTGTTATTTGTTTGTTGTTGTTGTTCTGTGTCACATGTAAACAAGAGCTGTCTGAGAACATGTCCACAACAACACAACTATTAGGTTAGGTTAGGTTAGGTTATATTCCTTCATGTTCTCACTCTATAAATAACTTCCTTCATTCCTTATCCCTCCTTCATTCCTCCTCATTCCTTCTCATTCCTCCTCATTCCTCCTCATTCCTCCTTATTCCTTCTCATTCCTTCTCATTCCTCCTTATTCCTTCTCATTCCTTCTCATTCCTCCTCATTCCTCCTTATTCCTCCTCATTCCTTCTCATTCCTCCTCATTCCTTCTCATTCCTTCTCATTCCTCCTCATTCCCTCTCATTCCTTCTCATTCCTTCTCATTCCTTCTCATTCCTCCTCATTCCTTCTCATTCCTCCTCATTCCTTCTCATTCCTCCTCATTCCTTCTCACTGCCCGTACTACTCTCTCTCTCCCCACTTTTCACTCAGCATATCCCGTCTACACCATCACACCTGCCTGATCCACACACAACACCTTTTGATAATTCTTGACACAGGTGACAGGGAAATTAATAACCTCCTTGAAGGGATGGGCTCACCTGCAGCTTAATTTACCTGATGGCTCAACACCCTTACCTAACCTAACCTAACCTCATCTAACCTAACCTAACACTTTTACACTTTTACTGTATTATATAACTTTTGGTTCTATTCGTTATTTTGACACACACACACACACACACACACAGACGAATGTATATCAAAGCAATAACATATAACATCCATGAGACGTGTTGTTATCTTTACACAACAGCGAGGAGCACCCTAGAGATAAGATAACACGGCAGGATATACAAGACGTGTCCCCTTGAAGACGATATGTTAAGACTCGCAGAAGCAATACGGATCACCTGACGATTAGAGACACCTAGTGAAATGAGTGAGTGATAGAGGGTGTAGTGTAAGATACTGTAACGTGGGTGTAGGATACTGTAACGTGGGTGTAGGATACTGTAACGTGGGTGTAGGGTGGGAGACAAGGAGAGTACTTGAGTTTTTTTTTTTTTAATCAAGAACTTCTTCATATTTTTTTTAGGGGTGGGGGGTGGGAGGGCCTGTTTAATGGTGTCAGATGTTGGTCGGGATTTTTTTTCTTCGTCTCAATAGTTAAGGTCAAAGGTGAAACACAACAGGAATTGATCATGTCTCAGTGTGATATGTTATAATGTTTCTAAGCTGACTGTACTGCGTCGCTCATTCTTGCTCCACTCATTCTTGCGCCACTCACCACTCAGCGTACAGTCACCACTCAGCGACAGTCACACCAAGCACGACAGGAAGAAATCTGAGAGTTAGTGATAAACAGTGTGTCGTAACTGCAACAAGTGTCTGTCTGTCAAACTCTCTTGCTACTCAACTATATTGTACACAAACTTCAAGTATTCTTTATCGTCACAATAGTAAGTATAGCTGATATTTTATTGGTTTATTGAGAGAGAGAGAGAGAGAGAGGAATTACGCTATATTTATGTGTAAAACGTATGTGTAAAACGGTAAATCCGCTTAGAATATATATATTTTTTTATCAGTAAGTGAATAAGGTGAGTGAGTGAGTGAGTGAGTGAGTTCCCGACCGATGACATTTTTACGGGTTTGGTGACGATTAGGAGTGGCGTACAGTGTAGGATTATAATTAGATCATGTATTATTGCGTAAGGTCAGTCAGTCAGTCAGTCAGTCAGTGAATCAGTCAGTCAGTCAGTCAGTCAATGAGTCAGTCAGTCAATGAGTCAGACAGAGTCCCCCACGAAAGACTAATAACAAAAGTGGAAGCTCATGGCATTAAAGGAGATATTTTAAAATAGATTAAGGGAGTGGCTACAGGACAGGAAACAGCGAGTGAGCATTAACGGCACTAAATCCGATTGGAGTAAAGTCACTAGTGGAGTTCCCCAAGGCTCAGTACTTGGACCATTATTATTTATTATATACATAAACGACATAGATATTGGCGTAGACAGCAACATAAGTAAATTTGCTGAAGACACTAAAATAGGGAGTGTGATTAAATCTGACGAGGACTCCGCAAAACTACAGGAAGATCTAAAAAAAAATCGAATGGTCTGAAAAATGGCAGATGAGATTCATTGTGGACAAATATAAAGTACTCAGTATAGGAGATGTAAGCAGGGAAACCAGATACCAGATGAACAACGATGTTATTGAGAAATCCGACTGCGAGAAAGATTTAGGAGTAATGATAAGTAGAAATCTTAAGCCAAGTAAACAATATGTATTTGCTCGAAACAAGCCTAATCAAGTACTTGGGTTCATACAAAGGAGTGTTAGTTACAAGACTAGCGAGGTCATCCTAAAACTATATCTTGCGCTTGTGAGACCTCACTTGGATTACGCAATTCAATTCTGGTCACCGTATTACAGAATGGATATAGAATCCTTGGAAAGAATTCAGAGGAGAATGACAAGGCTAATCCCGGGCAATAGGAACCTTGAGTACAGAGACAGGTTAAAGTTTCTTAATTTGCACTCCCTCGAGAGACGCAGAGTGAGGGGCGATAAGATAGAGGTGTATAAATGGAAGTCAGGGCTGAACAAAGGGGACATTACAAAGGTACTCAAACTATCCAACCAGGAGCGAACTCGTAACAATGGTTTTAAATTAGAAAAAATCAGATTTAGGCGCGAAATAGGTAAACATTGGTTTGGAAATAGAGTAGTGGACGAGTGGAACAAGTTACCAAATATCATCATTAACTTGAATACGCTGGATAGCTTCAAACATAGGTTGGATGGATATATGAGCAATAGGGGTTGGGTGTAAATGGGACTGCCCAGTATGGGTCAATAGGCCCGCTGCAATTTCCTCCATTCTTATGTTCTTATGTTCTTATCAGTCAGTCAATTAGTCAGTCGGTCAGTCAGTCAGTCAAGCCGTGTACAGAGCTATCTAACGCAGTCAAAACATATTTCCATTTTTTTTTTTAGGTGAGAAGGACTACTACTTTATACCTGCCAGAGCGTGTATATCTGACATGGGTAAGTGACGTAAGTATTATGTACAATATCAACTAACACTAAAGTATCTAAGTGTATATTTTAGGTTAATATTGTTGATGTTATAGTATAAGATAAACTTAATCTACCCTATCTGACTGTTTTACTACACATTGGTAGGTGGGAAAGTGTCGTCAGTAGAGTTAGTATACCGGGAAGAGTGGGGAGCGCTTGAACCAAAGAGCCTCACCCAGCTAAACCCTCCCATGAGTAAGGTGATCATCCACCACACGGCCGCCGGCAAGTGCACCACGAAGGAGGAGTGTGTTGAAGAGGTGAAGAAGACACAGAGAGTACACATGTATTGTAATGGTAAAGTTACGTTTTATATATATTTTTAAATTTTGTTTAACATTTCAGTAATTAACCTTAAACTCTTCATTGAAACGTGTCTTAGAAGTGAACAAGGTGTAACAAGTCTTCGTAAATCTTCTTCTTAATCTTCACTTAAGTTATGAGTATATAGGATAGTCCCAATCATTCTATTTTTTAACCCCTAAATAAAACTATATTCGTTTGTACCTGATTTCTAAGTACACCTGTCATCCTCTTGGTAATCCTAACCTAACCTAACCTAACCTAACCTAACCTAACCTAGCCTCACCTAACCTAACCTAGCCTAGCCTCACCTTTTTTTTTCTTCAGCTTGGGACGACATTGGCTACAATTTTCTGGTCGGGGAGGATGGACGAGTGTATGAAGGCCGAGGCTGGTACACTCTAGGCTCACACTCAATGGGCCACAACACCTCCTCTTATGGTATATGTGTGATGGGCAACTTTATGGAGGAACTACCTAATGATAAAGCCCTCTCAGCCCTCAAGGAATTTATCAACTATGGCGTACAAAAGGTAGATTGATAATACATATTTTTTTATTACAAATTAAATCAAATATTCATAAAACACAATGATAAGAATGGTACTTTCCAAAAGGTAATTGATTATTATTAAAATATAGCTATCAAAATATTAATCTATCATAGAAGTTTATAATAATTTATGCATAAATTCAAAATACCTATATACTAAAATTTAACCATAGTACATTTAAATGGGTTTCTTCATATTTTACCCATCCTGTTATATACTCCATACAATATAACACTACCTTTTATACGACTCATATGTATAAACGGGATATATAAAACACTCTTATAATGGGATGTTTTGACAGGGGAAACTTACCGAAGGATATGAGCTGTTTGGTCACAGAGACGCCCAAGCCACAGACTGCCCGGGACTTATGCTTTACAACCATATACAAACTTGGTCCAACTTCAGCCACAGAAATTTACGTGATTAATGATGAATAGATAGATAGATATTCATTAAAAAATCATCTTACAACTTTACTTTGATTCAGCACGCATTTAGACACGGATGACGAAGCACTACACACACACACTGTATTTGAATGTTACTTTGAAAAATAAATTATGGAAATATATTGTTTACGCATTTGTTTATTCCTTCACCCAGTATCCATGAATCATTCCTTGACTCAATATCCATGACTTGTGCCTTGGATCACGTCGCGGTAAACTAGGTTGCTAAAATTGTATCTATCTATCTATCTATCTATCTATCTATCTATATATATATCTATCTATCTATATATATATATTTTTTTATTGTACTCATGATATTAATAGTAACAATAATAATAATAATAATAATAATAATAATAATGATAATTTAATGACAATAAATTAAACGATTATTTTATTGTTGTTTTATTTAATTTTTTATTGTATTTTATTTATTTATTTTTTTGGACTCCGTGAAGAATTTTTCATAGCGTACTGACTTTCCTTTCTGGGGGTGTTGGAGAGTGTTGGAGATTATACCTTCTGAGGGGGGGGGGATGTTGGAGTCTGTTGGAGACTGTTGGAGATATACACCTTCACCCTATTAGCTTCCAGATATCCTTGTCTACCTTTCTACACATACAAAAAAAAAAATCCACATTAAACAGAGGGAAAAATAGGTAAATTAACTGCTATTTCTGATGCACTGATTTGTATTAAGTATTTAACATTATATACAGATAATGTATAATGGGTAATACATACTTATACATACACATTAAAAGCACATACGACATATACTTACATAAACATATATAATACAGTACAGTCACACTTACCGTAAGAAGGAGTATCCACAGTAGCTAAGGGTAACATCATCGGCTCCCGTTACATACACGGTATTCAAGAACACACGGACTTGGTGGACCATTAGTTGATTGCCTAAATCTTGCAGGTCTTGGTCACTCAGATTACTCTCGGGAAAGCACAGTATCCAATACTCCCTTTGGTGGGAAGAAAAGTTAGTTAGTTAGTGCTGAGGGGTGATTAGTGCTGCAAGTCGCGCGCGTGTTTTATATTATTATTATTATTATTATTATTATTATTATTATTATTATTATTATTATTATTATTATTATTATTATTATTGTTGTTGTTGTTGTTGTTGTCATTATTAATGGTATTATCATTATCATTGTTGTTGTTTCTATTCTACCTTCATGATCACCAATATAATGACAACATATGATGATCAGAAACCATCATTATTTACTTCCCACATTTGTAACAGATAGTTGAACGAGTCCTCATAGAGTTACGTTCACTTACATCCAACACATACGTTCACTTATATCCAAACACGTACGTTCACTTACTTCCGACAGGGTAATAGTTGTTTTGCCACCTCCGCTGCCCAGACTAAGTGTACTGCATCAAGGCCAGAGAGAGCTAGGAACATCTTGCCATACGCCTCAGGAAGTGGGCGAGGCAGGAGAGAAGGTTGGACTCCCACAGGTACATGAATCCCTGAATAAAAGAACAACACATAGCCTATAATATACTATACTCCACACACACACATACACACATATACACACTGGCCATAAACGTACCAAGGCGGAATAGTGACGGTATACGTTGATTGAGGGAGCAGAGAGCACTGGTCAGCTCCAAGTCGTTGCCAGATACACTCAGGTAAGGCTCCACCAGTGACTGCGGTAACGTCTTCACATTCACACTGCTCAGCTGACCTTTGAACTTTCTCACCTGGCAACTGAAAGATATGTACAGTAAGGTAGAAAAACAGTCAAAAATAATAATAATTCGTCAAAAGAGACAAACTAAATATAGGTTGAAGTAATAAACAGTGAACCAAATATGACCATGACAGGAAAGTATATCATCGGTTTAATATATACATATATATATATATATATATATATATATATATATATATATATATATATATATATATATATATATATATATATATATATATATATATATATATATATATATATATATATATAGTAAACCTTTAACACCTGTGCCCTGTGATACCTGTAATTTCTGTAATAACTTACTTCTGGAGGACACAATGGAGAGCCTTATCAAACTTGGTGCTGCAGTGCCTTGGGTGCTTGAAGTCATACTCGAAGTTAATATCCACTTCACACTTGACGTATTTAACCATTACATCCATCAAGTCGTACACGAGGGTAAAGTCTTCTGGATGGGAGTTGATGTTGATTTCTAAACTGTGTGGTCGAAGATGTGGCAGAAGAGACGTGTAGACCATAATGTTGGTCTCTTCTAGCACTATCTTCCCCGTCACCATTTCCGGAATGTATTGAACGATGTACTTGGTGACGGTAGCATCACACCTCACGTCACTCAGCAGGTCCACCCACTGCCTACTGTCTGTCATGCCTGAATCTCTGAGGAGGGTCACCAGCTCCTTGGCCGTGCTGTCCCCTATTGCTCCCTCAAGGTGGTAAATACCAGCTAAATGAATCAGGACATTCTGGTACTTCCTTAATGACAGGGAGGAGGGGTCATCTTGGTGCAGTTCCTCTAGGAAGCTCAAGATGGTCGAAGGCGCATTTTTTTGTAACAATAACTCGTTGGTTTTGTCCACGATGTCTTGATTAATTGACGGGTGAACTTTAAATTTAACCAGGACGTCCTGAATACTACTTAAAACTCCAGGTATATCAACGGTGGAGTATTTACCCTGGAGTGAATACATGATACACAAGGCACTATAAAAGTCCTGAACTCCCTTGTGTGGGAAACTGAGATATGAGTCAGTGCCAAGCGGTGTCCAAGTGATCTTCTGTTGCAGGAAGGAGCTGATAATTTCTTCAGGTGGCAGTTGAACAGTCAAGCAGGTGTTTCTAAGTTTATCTGCTATACCTTGTGTTAGAGTGATGGAATTGTCTTTAAGGCCTATGAGGGATTCTCGGCATAATTTAATAAAGAAATATTCAACTCTTCTCTCCAAGTCCATGGTTTTTGAAAGCTGAGTCTCCATATTATTTTTCAGTCGATCAAGAAGTTTCTCTGTGGTCATATCTTTTATTCTCTTGTACAGTTCAGTTGTCGTCCTCACACTGTTCACTTTACTGGGACTTGTGGCCCAGAGGATGGTAAGCATCACTAAGTTTAGGGGAAGCCTTAAGTGGTCCTGGAGGCTGCGTGGGGCTCTTTGCAAATACTCAATCAGACTTGATGTGCTCACTTGACTCCTGCCAGATTTTATCAGCTCGTCATGGTATGTGGTTGCAAGCTTTGTGCAACTTTCGTCTGGAATACCCAGAAGTTTTATATGAACAGGTTTAAGATACTTAGGAATAATCTTGTAGAAATCTTTCACCATATCTGGCCTTGTTGTGCAAACTACGGTAATGTTACTCATGGCACTCAGAGGTAGAAGTTCACAAAACAACTCATGTGATGACTTATTTAATTCGTCCAAGCCATCCACCAACAGGAGGAGCCTCAATTCAAGTGCACATTTGACCATATCTTCATCTCGATATTTCTTGGCGGTATCCGGCATCAACGACCGGAGAAGCTGTACAAGAGAGCTAATGTGGGGGTTTCTGCACTCCATGAAAAGAAGCAGGTGGTAGTTCGTGAGGCCCTTCATGGTGTTGTCTCCGGCCTGCCAGTCGCATAAAATTTTTCTCAGCAGGGTAGTCTTACCAACACCTGCCTGTCCCTCAATAAGGACGATACCAGACACATTAGTAAGGTTGCAGGCGGTGTTCTGGACGTGGTTTATGATTTGCTCATAGTCAATTTGCATGTTGTGAGAGGAAGGGACAACTTCCTCAAGAACCATGCGGGTAAAAATAATGCCAACGTTAAGGGCAAAATCTGCGCCGTCGATAAAGGACACTGGGTTGAGGTGGGTCCATTTTATGTAGGTCTCCAACAGCTCCGGTTTACCATACGTTATAAGTAGACCCTTTAGCTGTTGAAAGAGATTGTGGCTCTCGTAGCTAGTGATGTCATCGTTCGTCAATGGCTTATCCCTGGTGTTGTTGAGCTGGTCATTCATGGACATTATCAAATGGTTCATAACAATTTGGTCAAAATAATTCATATTCTTGGCCGCCAAGAGAGCTTCTGTCAACAGGTTCCTCAGTTGCTCTGTCTTGTTTATGAAATCTGTGTGGCTGATTTGTAAACTTCCATGTACCAATTCATTACGGAACATTTTTACCGCCGCGAGCTTTTGATGAAGGTTGTCGTCAACTGAACCAGGTGAGACATGAGCGCGCAAGAGGGTGATGCTCAGATGAAGTAATGTTATGTCATAAGTGTCTCCATTAATATCCGTTTTAAGCTTCTTACGCTGGGCCTGGTCCAACTTTTGTTTTGACTTTTTTGCGCTAAGGTTCAGGAACTCTATAAGAGACTCGTTTAAGGGCTTGCCCGCCTGCTGAGCCACCATGCGATACACCTCCAGCATCATATCGCGGGCAGTGCAGCAAGTCATCTTGTTAACACGGAGGTAATTTATTTCCTCCTTCTTAAACGCCAATGTTGTCTGCTGCAGTGTTGGCTGTTGCTGGGGCGTCTGTGCTATGGACATTGATTGAGAACCTGACACGGGTGGCAGTTGAGGGGTCCACATGGTTGACTATTATGACCTATTGTATAGAATAAATAAAAGTGAACAGTTAGATATATACACCTGAACTGTATACTCTGAGATGTAGTACACGTTACCTTTAGTTAATTAGCTGTTAGACACCTGTAGATTTGTTCCCTACAAACTGAAGATTCAACGGAAATGAAATGTGATCATGATCTTAATTTATGAACAAAAACTAGACCATACCTCTCCCTGACTACACACCTCCCTGACCACACATCTCCCTGGATACACACCTCTCTGACCACACCTCCCTGACCACACGCCTCCCTGACCACATCTCCCTGGCTACACACCTCCCTGATCATACACCTCTCTGACCACACATCACCTTGGATACACACCTCCCTGACCACACACCTCCCTGACCACACTTCCCTGACCACACCTCCCTGATCACACATCTCCCTGACCACACCTCCCTGATCACACACCTCCCTGACTACACACCTCCCTGACCACACCTCTCTGATCACACATCTCCCTGACCACACCTCCCTGATCACACACCTCCCTGACTACACACCTCCCTGACCACACCTCCCTGATCACACACCTTCCTGACCACTCACTTTCCTGACCACACATATCCCTGACCAGGGCAATGACACTCAGTGCCTAGCGACCCAGCACGCCAGTCGTATGGGAGTGACTTGCTGCTGCCTAGGGTGCTTGCAGCTGTAGGGCGGCACCGGAAACGCCCCGTGGCACTGAGACCAACTGCCAATGATGACAGCCACACAGTTACCTCGTCTTCATATAAGTTAAAACAAATATTTTCATTCCTTTTACCTTATGGGAACCAAACTCCATAAAACGCTTTAAGTGACTATTTATGTATAATTTTAGATACACCATTAATAAAACGCTACAGAATCACATAGAATGTAAGAACAAAAATATAGGTAATTTGGTAGTTTTCATCCGTAGTGACTGCTTGAGTCGTTGAGTATGACGTGGTGTAAACCTGTATATTACCTGAATAAGAAGTAATCGTTACACGCAGTTTACGGAAGAACTCGGCCACAATTATTTTTTTTCTTTTTTAAGGTTTTCATTATTAGACTCTACAGTATACATAATTTTTTTTTAAATTTCAAATGCGATTAGTCTTATTATATTCTGAACTCCTGATTTCGGTAGATTTTAATTTTATTGAAAATTTCCTTGATAACCAAACTCAGCTGCCAGGTTGCCAACTGAGATATTACACTCATTACAAATCTCGCTGCGATTCATTACCAAGCCGAGCTTTGACAACTAAATATTCCATGAAGTTGGAGTACTTCAAAGTAATTGAATGTTTTGAAGTACATTTTACCAAGTACAAGTACCAAAATGTTGGTACAGTACTTGATTACGAAGTACAACTACATACTTGAACCTAAGCCTGTAGGAAGGAAACTTGTGTGTTGATGCTATAGCTACACATTAACCCCAGAGGCAGGGAGCAGGCAGGGAGGGAGTGAGGGGGGGCAGGAGGGGGCAGGGAGGGCAGGCAGGGAGCAGGCAGGAGGGCAGGAGGGAGGCAGGGAGCAGGCAGGCAGGGGGTGAGGGAGTGCAGGGAGTTGAGGGAGGGAGGGCAGGGAGGGAGGCAGGGCAGGCAGGCAGGGAGCAGGAGCAGGCAGGCAGGGAGCAGGGAGCAGGCAGGCAGGGAGTGAGGGAGGGAGGGAGGGACATTTTTCTGGAACACTATATATATCGTATATCGTAGTCATTAATTTAACAAACAAACAACACGTTACTTGTGGTCGGTATCTTAACCTTCCATAAACCTTCATCGCTTCGTAAGTAAAATACTCAACAATACTTACTAACGTGGTGGTGAAGATGCTGTAGTTGGGGCCTCACAGTACAGGAGAGCACTAGTGGTGGTGTGGTGGAGGTGGTGGTGTGGTCGACTGACGGTCGTCACTAGCACTCACTCGACACTCAGTTGCACCATGAGGTTGCCTGACGTGCATTATAACTACTACTACTACTACTACTACTTTTTTTATGGCCTCCAGCCTCCCCCAATAGCCACACCTTCGCCACCATTTTATTAACTTAATATTAAATATCCTAATACATAAGTAGCTATCCTATCTGTGTTGAATTAGTTGAGCCGCAGATCTATGCAGCATTCAGTGACTGCAGCCTCATAGTCAATATCTGCAACTGTTGTCGGCTTTGGGGCCGTTGCTCTCGTGCCCCTAAGGCAGAGCAAAGCCTACTACTACTACTTCTAAAAATAATAATAACTATATTAATAAATAGTCAGTGGTAATTATTAACTACACCGCTGGTTGTTCACTCTTGTTGTGAACTGCACACCATGAGTACCTCCCCCCTTTAATATCTCCTCCCCTCCTCACACACACTCGCTTCACTCACATTACTCACCCTCTTTACACAACAGCACGGGGTTAACATAACCAGGGTAAAGCACTTGTGTTTATGTGGTAAAAAGGAAGAAGCTGTTTAACTAACCCTCAGTGATGTCGCAATACCTGACGTGACCAACACATCTTGTTTATCTCTTGTTTATCTCTTGTTTATCTCTGACTTGATGAACGAGATTGTTGCTTCTTCGTAAATAGAGAGATATTTTTTTTATACCTGTATTATCAATGAAGTGCACGTGCAGGAGTGATATCCAGTTCAATTGCACCCTGTCATAATGGACCCCCAAGCCCTTATGTTAACGGGTCGCAATGCATCATATTAAGTTAAATAACATTAAAAATAGGTTTAGTTGGGGCATCTTAAGACTAGGGCCCATTAGGATTGGAACTCATTATGACAGGGATGCTACTATAGCCAATAATCACCGAGGACTATTAGCACTTGCATCTCATCACAGAAGCCTATAAGTGAAAACTAAATCTGGTCAAAGGATAATGGGGATTGGTATTACGTTAACGATAATCTAGCCGCTTCTCTTGGGACTGTCTTCAGTATTAGGACTATAGGCTTCTTACTACTCCTAGATTTCTCCTTTGCTCATCATTATCGCCATCGTCAGCTATATCATTATCATTGTCTTCAATATCAATATCATTATCGTTATTCTATTCATCATCATCATCATCATCATCATTATCCTTCTTCTCCTATTCATCATCATTATCCTCATCTTTAGCATCATAAATAGATAATGGGAGATGCTGAGACATGCTAGATGGTGAGAGATGTTCAGAGATGCTGAGAAATACATCAGTCTGAGATGGCTCCTTTGATCTCGTCTTGCAGTGTAATTTAGGCCTCGGAATGAGATTTTCCTGAAGACTCATTTCATTAAACCTGCAGTGTGTTTAATGCCCAAACTTATTAAACCAGAACTGTCTCGTGTTTTAGGGGTTTAGTACTACTTTGTTTACTTAATTAATTCTCAATTTTTTTTTTTTAACTCACTAAACCTCAATTGGTTTTAATACTGAATTAAATCGATTCGGTATTGTTTACATAATTAAATAAAACTTTAGCCTAACCCAACCAAATCTAATATAAACCTAACCTAACTTAACCAAACCTAACATAAACCTAACCTAACCCCCAGGTATATTAAGATTTATTGAAGCGCAGTTAAAACATCGTAACAACTTCCAGGTAGCGTTAGGGTGTTTAATCAACAGGTGAACTATAAGCTGGGGAACCTAATCTTAAAGTGATCCAACTTTTGTGTATTCTTAAATATGTAATTTTTTCTCTATTTTATGACAAAGGGTTTCCCGTGGTGAGAGAGAGAGAGAGAGAGAGAGAGAGAGAGAGAGAGAGAGAGGTGAATAAAGTGATGATTAAATAAATTAGACAGACAGACACTCACCCTCACTGTATATATACCATTTTCAATCGCATCAACACACCCACCTCGAACCCGGAACTAATTTGCACGGAACTCAAATATTAGGAGAAAATCAACTCCCAGTGACACGGTTCCAGCTCACTCACTGGCTCTTTGCGTCATGTTTGCTTTAAATAAACCTAACTGATGGGTGTGTTGGCTCTCCTTGGACGAATTACTTTACTGTTTACCATTATTAGGATACCTGTAGTGCCTATGTACAGGTATAGTACCATATCTGTATATCTATATTGTGTACATACTGTGTTTATATATAATGGCTGTCTCTCGCGTAACGAGGATGGTCTGCCCAAAGGCCACCTAGGCGTGAATTTATCTAAGGTGTAGAAGCTGTCGCCAACACAACAACCACACCCTAAGTTAACGAGCTAACTGATCCAGTGTCAAAGAATAGTCCGAGAAGACCGAACAACTCGCCAACTGCACAAGCTAACCATTACCTGGAACACGATCAGCAAATCGATTAACATCCAGGTTCCCAATTACTGCTGGGTAGACAGAGGCAAATGGCGTAAAGAAACTTGCTCACTGTTTCACCCGGTCCGAGGTTCGAAATCGGGTCCGTTCCCTTGCGAGGCGAGGGTTATTTTTTTTTTTACGGGGAATAGCCCACCCGGGCACAGGTCACTGACCCACATCAGGGCCTGGAATATAATAATAAATAATAATAATAATAATAATAATAATAATAATAATAATAATAATAATAATAATAATAATAATAATAATAATAATAATAATAATAATAATAATAATAATAATAACAATAATTATAATAATAATAATATCCATTATTATCATTATTACAATAATTAATAAAATTAATAGCAAATTAATACAAAAAAAAAATAATAATAATAATAATAACCATAAATAAATACAAAAACGAAAAAATAAATCAAGAGTGAAAAACGATATATATTATTTATGTTGTGTTGTCAGTGTAAGAGAAACAATTGAGATCCTGCAATTGTATGTAAATGAGGCAGAAATCAGATCAGCAACCTGGGACTTGGTCACAATTTTCGTGATGCCACATGGCAGCAGGGTCTACCATTGGACAACACATTATGCTGCCAATATCTTCCCAGGCGGTAGTACCTCCCTGTTTGGTAGCTGCTTACTACCTACTGCCTGGCATGGTGCTAACCATTACATCACAGGTCAATATCGTTTTATATACCTGCATTGTGTATATACCTTATCTATACATCTGCACTCTGTATGTATAGTGTGATCATCTGATTCTTGTTGTAGTGTAAAGAGAGAGAGAGAGAGAGAGAGAGAGAGAGAGAGAGAGAGAGAGAGAGAGAGACTAAACTAATCTTCCTCGCAACAAGTCACCACTATGGGCCCCTAGAAAAGACGTTTATTTCTTCATCTCGTCTAAAAAAAGAAACAATTTTAAAGATGCACGAGGTAGGCAGGGCAGGGGGGAGCTGACAGTGTCGTAGTGAAGTGAGTGGATGTCAATTTTCCTTTTTTTTTCTTTTTTTCCCCATGATGGGCTGTTGGGAAGCCTTTCAATTCCCTTTTCACGTACAAAGTTTGACAGGTTTGTTGATTTTAGTTTGTTTGTTTGTTTGTTTTTGTCTGTGTTTAGTGTTTGAGTACATATTTGTTTGTACAAGTGTGTATGATATCTATCTATCGATCTATCTATCTAACTATCTATCTATCTATCTAATCTCTCTCTCTCTCTCTCTCTCTCTTTATACATCCTCACTCCACCCCTCTGCTGTCCTATTAGTCTGAGTCCTTCTCCTCCGCCCTCCCCAACACTGTTACTACGCCCTTCAGTACATCCCCCTTCATCAGGTCTTCCCTTCATCACCTTTAGTTCTATAATTCACTGTTAAGTTACAACGAACAGTGACATAATACAATCAGCAGTGACATAATACAACCAGCAGTGACATAATACAACCAAAATACAACCAATAATAGCATGATACAACGACCAGTAACGTAATACAACCAAAATACAACCAGAATTAACAAACCACAACCAAAAATACAACTGAGTTTCATGTACTCAATTGAAACAAGTACAAGATAACATTAACAACGATAAGAGTAACTGAACCGGTAGTGGGAAGAGTAAGTGAAGGAGTAACAAAATATATAAAGATATTTCTAACTCTCTCTCTCTTAACCTAACCTAACCTAACCTAACCTAACCTAACCTAACCTAACCTAACCTAACCTAATCTAACCTAACCTCTGCGTTTACAGGGGCTCGTCATATAAACATTGCACCAAACATTACAGTGAGATATTTGTTTTAATATAGTTTTACTTTGAAGTCATTGTATGTTTACTTTAGCGAGTTTCCTTCCTTCCGTCTAATGTAAACAAACAAAGGGTTGCCAGACTGCACAAAATCTGACGAGGAGCCCCTGTAAACGCACAAGTGAAGGGTGATTGCATGTACCTCCTGATCAATTCTCCTCCTTAATTAAAAACAAGAAGAACGATTCTAATTATCATAGGTAAATCACACCTTGATATCAACTTACCTCCAAAGTTGCAACCAAGTTTTTATACTGTAACTGAGGACAGAATATTGACGCTTCAGTCTTTGTGATTCTGATGCGTCGGTATATTGTTGACTACCTCACAGGGATTAAAGTCTATCACGACGTCTGTTTTTTTAATTTGTGAAAGTAATCTCGGTGGGATTTGAGAGACGGAGAACTCGGGAGAGAGGAGAGGAGAGGAGAGAGGAAAAGTAGAACGAGAAGAGAGGAGAGGGCTAGGAGAACGAGAGATACAGTAGTTTGGAAGAGAGAAAAAAACAAAATCAAATCAAATCATATAGATGAACAGTACGATGACTACAGGGGTTTGTGAAGATCATAATATAATTCGCGAAATGGCTCATGTAGTTCGCGAAAATTATCTAGTTCGCGAAGTTGATATACTTATTCACGAAGAGGATATAGTTACTGAAAATTTACTTAATACACCTGAAAATGATTCTTCATTTACGTTTCAATCGTAATAGGCCTTCGTCTTAAGGGTTCCACATACTACCGGGTTTAAAATT